AGGGCGCATGGTTTTGAGCTCCTAATGTCATGGCAGGATGTAGGGCTCGAGGTTCCATTCATCAAAAAGGCTGACCCGAGCTGGCCTCAGCCTCGTGAATGCAAGGCTCCGGAAACGCTTTCAGTTCGAGACTGTGTTGGTTGGGTGCTGGTCCCAACCAACAGCTGTCCTGTCGTGCCATTGACCCTTCAACGCGCTTCGAAGTCCACACAAACCACGAATCAAAAACCTTGCACCGTCCCATTGCCCTTTGGGGTGAGGTGAAGTGGAGGCTGTGATTTGCAGTGCTCCAGAGGGTGCACCTGGGCTCCGGGTGATTCCGGTTTCTGTCTTGGTTTGGGGGTTTTGGATCGGTCGAGACTTCTTCAAGAGGTGATGGTTCAGTTCTAGGCTCTAGCCTCTTCTGGGCAGCGTGCCTGTTCGGTTTTGCAGGCATGACAAGGCTCGTCGATGCCCTTTACATATTTGGCTGTGACTCTTTGCAGCTTTGGACTGTAGAGACGGGAGTTCACTATTTCGAGCACATGTGCCCGAGATTTCCGCCTGGGGATTGGGGAACCTTTCCTTAGATCTATCTAAACCCCAAAGCCTTCGTCCATGAGACGGAACTTTCAGGCGTCGGACTAGGCAAGCTTATCCGCCATAGAGCTTGGACGACTGGTTGAGATTCAATCATGCTACTGCAGGTGTTTTGCAGTGGGAAGTTGAGAGGGACGTAGACCACTTTGCCCTATGCCTTAAACCCTAACCTAGATGGCCCCATCCTGTGGCAGAGGACCTCGGACTCGAGCTTCATCGTATAACTCTATCCAGAATGGTTTAGGGCAGGGCCCGGGGTTTCGGCTGCAGGATTTCATGACACACGATGGTAGTTGTACTTCAATAAGGGGAAGCCCACGGCCTTGAATATAACCTTGTCTTGAAAATCGTAAAGCTCTGTACTAGCTCTATACTACTCAACTCTATACAGCTCTACGAAGAGAGTCTCAAAACCTGATGGAGCGAATAGAACCCTTGTCGATTTTTTCTATAGAGACGCTAAGGCGAAGCCCTCTGTGCGGCAATTGCACAAAGGAGAGCTCGTGACGGCCTCAAAGAAAAAATGTTAGTTGTGCCTGGGCGGTAGGGGTCTGCATAATTAGATGTAGTATCCAACGTGGGCGCCCCATATACTTGATACAGTTATGCTGTACTATACCCCGAGACCTTATCCGGAATATTATGGCCCCGCTGGGCCTAACGGAGTTCTACAGATGAAGATGAGTAGTTCAACTGCATCTGTGAAGAGCCGTTCCAAGATTTTGTTTTCGGTTTGTCGATGCTCCGGGTTTGGAAAATCATTTATTGTTGGAGTGCAGTGTCCAGAGTCTGTTTGGGATTCAGATTTTGCCTTGAGACTTATTTCTCATTGGGGTTCAGACTTTAAGGTCGGTTTATTCGGGAGCCGATGAATGCCTGACTTTGGCGGGGTTGGGGGGGAACACACCAAGATTCAGGACCCTATGGACTATGGAAACTCCCTAAGTAAGTACCATAAAACCCTCAAACCCAAAAGCTCATATCCCAAAACCCATCGGAAACGAACAACGACTGAGATTCCTACGTGACTGTGATCTCGAGCAGGGTACTGCATGGATCCACACCCGCTCTTCCCTGTAAAGCCAGCCACCCACTGGCTTGACCCCTCCAACAACTAAACATGAAAGAGACAACATAGCCCCCAAATCCTAAACCATACGCCAGAACCCAAAATCGACAGCCGCAGCCCTAGGTGGTTTGCTTCCACAATGCGACAGCATCCTCACCCAGGTTCGTCCCGTCTCCTTCCGGGTGGTAGGCTTAGTCTTGGGGCTTCTGGGCTTTGTTGCAGGGTTTCAGGCCTACAGACTTTGAGGGTTTAGGTCAGGCCTTCTAAGCTTAAAGGTTTCCGGAATGCCAGGCAGCAGATATTTTGTTTGTAAAATATTTCAAGCAAGGAAGTAAGTTACTTGGAGCCTGGTGTCATGGCTTCGGACTGGGACTCTGTGCAGAATTCGCGATTTGGATCTGCAAAACCTTAGGTCCAAAGCCCAAACTCAGAGCAAGCGATGTATGGTCCAAGGTTTAGTTCAGGGTTTGGAGATGTGGATTTTAGAAGTTAGGGGGCGCGGTTAGGGTCTCGCAGTTATAGGGCTAAGTCGAAGATCTGCGCAGCCTGAACCCTGAGGCTTAGAGCCTATGTTGGATTCTGCAAGTGTGCGTGTGGGTGAGGCGTCGTTTCCCCTCGTAAAAGCGTAAGCCTTTTTGGATTTATTCTGATACCTTCTTTCAACTGCCCCAAAAAGCCTAGGGCCTAAAGCCGAAAGCCTTTCAACCCGTCCCATCCCACTCCTCCCTTTGAAGTTTACGGCGCGTGTGGTTGTGCCGGGTGTTTCACATAAGCCCTCAACCTGTCCCAGATTTTCCATTGCAGGCCTGCCTGTACCGAGACCTTGAGTCTTGAAGGGCTTGCAACTCCGAACTTCTGGGCCGTGCCTTTGGACAGCTTCTAGGGCTCGGCATTGCTGCGCCACTCTGATGGAAGTCTAGGATGCCGAATCCCTCTGCCCCAAGAGCGCGAAACCCTCTACCCCTTGTACCAGAAGCCGCAGCACAAAAGGCTTTGACGGAATGCTACAAGATTGTGGCATAGGTCAGCTCGGACACTTGAACCTTCGGAGGGTCGGGAGAAGCATCATTTGTTCTGCGTCCCCGTATGGTCCCTATAAAGTTATAGTAAATTACACCGCCAGGCCCCGTGTGCTGTTCTCAGACTCCGGCCTTGACCGTTCAAAACAACCACTATAGTTGCACGCCAGAAAGCAGCTGCTGAAGCCCTACGCCCAAGAGGCTGTTTTGAAATTTTATGGTTCCGGCTCGCCGCGAACGTTGCCCTCGGTTAGGGCTTTCAAGGCGGTGCCTGAAACTCGGCAGCCTCTGCTGCATCCGAACGATTTCCATTCGTGCACGGGGCTTGGTGGGGTGTTTCCGGGTTCAGGTTTCGGTTTTGAGCCCGCAAACACGTTTTTAAGTTTCGTTTTGGGCTTTTGAGTTGCTCTTCACTAAGGCCTGGTAAGGGTGACAGCTTTCCCTGCAGCCGACAGGTTTCGGGTTCATGGTATAGGATTCTGGCTTCACTGTTGCAGACTTGTCGTTGGTCAAAAGATGGGGGCTTTGCACCACGATACCTCTACAGCCGCTTTAGCCATCTCGGCCGCCATAAGGAAAGACATGTTCCACAGCCCTGAATGTCAGTGCATCTGGGGTGCAGAAGAGGCTTTGTCTCACTTGAGAAGCGAGTTTTGGGAACGGATCGTGTCGCCCCTCCTTTGCATCATCATAGTTTCTGCCGCAGTTCCCCCGAGCTGCCGAAGTTGCCGGCCGGAGCGGGAGAGCTCAAAATGTGATGCAGGCTTTCTCTAGCTTTCTGGTACATATGTGTAAATACGAGTAATTACATATGTATGTACACTACATATGTATATATATATATATATATATAAATACATAAATATACATACATACATTTTTCATACATAGGTGATGTATGTATGTATGTATGTATGTATGTATGTATGTATGTGTATGTATGTATGTATACATATATGTATACATATATGTATACATGTATGTATACATACATATATATATGTATACATATATATATATATATATATATATATCATTTATGTATACACATACACATACATACATACATACATACATACATACATACATACATACATACATACATATATGCGCACACACACACACACAACACGCATCACTCATGCATATTCACTGCTGGAAAGGGCCTCTCGTTTCGGCAGATTTGTAAAATTAAGGAAGCTAGCCTAGCCCCCAGCTGCCAAAACCAACCGGTAGCCGGGGGAGATCGAGCCCTGCCTAGCTAGGTTAAGGCAGTCGGGGCTTCGGGGGCTCTGAGTTTTGGGATGTAGAGTAATGGGATTTAGGGTTGAAGAGAGTGTTGGGAGTTAGGTTTTAAAGATGGTGTGGTTGGAGTCCGTGACGATGTATTGTGATTGTTCCCATGACTCTTCAATTTCCCTGGTGGGTGTTGCTTGCGTTCGTTTGGTTATGCAAAAATGTCCCTTGAGGTAGCAAACCACCGAAAGCCTGAACTCTGCACACAACACCCCAGCTCTATAACCTAGCAAACCTCGAAACCTGAACGCTGGAACCTAAAGCCGGGAAGCCCTGGACTCGGCAATCATTCAACATCTACGGAGCCCTTCAACCCTGATTCGTTTTGCTTGTCTTGTCGTGCCCCTTCTGGGTTCCTTCTGGATTCGGCTAAACGCGACACAACGCTTACATCCCGCTTGTGTGGATGCCATGTGCGAGCCTTGTTCGAGGACAAACGGATCTAACACGCGTACTACAAAATGGATGGTTTCTCATTTCATTGGGGTGGTTGCCTGGTCATATCTGAAGGCAAATTCCCAGCTTCTTTTAATGCGTTAGAACAGCTTGGTTGCACAAGGAAGACGCCGCTTCTCGCAGTGTAGAAAGGCTCATGCAGGCGCAGTTTTGGCGGTGAGCCCAGGGGGAGACGTAGCCCGGACTTTGACGCGCCTCTTGATTGCAAGCAGATTCAGAACAGCACCAGAGTCTTGACCCGAAGTCAATTTCCGAAACACGGAAAACTGGCGGCTGCAATAGGCATGGCACAAACTAACATGCAGGTATACATGACACTATCCAGAGTCGATATGGAGTCTGGAGTTGGTGGTGTAGAATTTTGGTCTTGAGCCTTAAAGGAAGCAAGCGCCACGGCTTTGAAGACTGGCTTCTGTTCTGGTTTTCGCGTCAAAGGCATGCAAGGCTGTTCGGCCTATAGTGGCTCAGCAGTGCTTTCCAGTGGCTAAATGTTGCAGGGCTTTGGCTGCGCGTGGTTGCGGATTCGGCATGTGATGTTGCTGATTGTGATTGGCGTTCAGGCGAAGCGGAAAGCCGGCGCCATGTCTGACAGCAAGGTCTTCCTAGGCGGGGCTGGGCCTGAGCACTTAATTGGGGTTCTAGCATTGCTATAGTAGCATTGCCACAGAATCTGCGGACTCACAGTTTTCTCACTTCATTTGCACGGTACACATAGCAGAGTCAGGAGTCAGGAGTGCTGAAATGGAGCCTGACCTAGTTCTACATACGAGATCCCACCTCCCAAATCCAGGACTCTAAGTGTTCCGATGTTTCTGCAACACCGAGCGACCAAGCCTTGAAGTTGGCTCCCGCATCAGACTCAAGGCGAGCATGACTTCGTTTACCTCCATTTTACTTGCAGGTCAACCATCGCATCCGGACTTCTCGGGATACTGTAGCATTCAGTGCTTCAGGTGCTGCGCTCGACACCGCTTACTTGGGGGCTCTTCATGACTATAGTCAGTAGACTGGGAGTAGCAGTCCCCAACTATTGAAGTAGTTCAATGCAAGTTTCACCCTTGCTAAACTATCACCCTTGCTAGACTATGTTGCTGCCGCCGCTGCTGCTGCTACAAAGACGGCTAACCATAAGTGCAGGGCGGAAATCCTCAGGGCTCTCGTCGCAACATTAGGCAGACCACCACCACCACCACCACTACCGCAGCCGGGCCACTCCTGCCACCGCCGCCACCTGCACCAGCGCCAGCACCAGCACCGTTATGATGGTCGTTACCGAGTACTGCTATTGTTGTTATTGTTGCTTGTACGACGAACCTGGCGATCGCTACATTCGGCATCGTCACCATCATCGTTCTCCACGTCATCAGCGATATCAGTATCAATGCAGTCATGTTCGTCATCGTCATCATCCTCCTCGTCTCCCGGTCGCCGTGAATGTGTCAGTGTCATAGCCGTCATGTCATGGTCCCTCCTTTTCATTTGGGCAGCCACCTTAGCCGGCGAAGAGCCAGGTTGTATCCCTAACCATGTGGATGAGGAAGCGCTGAAGGAGGCACAGACTGCATGTCTCGATTGATAGTGTGAGGAACGCTTTAGGGGATGGGGTCTTGGGCTTCAGGCCGGGGCCCATGGTGTGGTAGTCAGTTCCGATTGAACCATCGTCGGGAGAAAACCTCGACTCGGATATGGCTCTTTGCCTTTGCTTAAATTTCGAAACTCCTGGCAACGAAAGAAACTCAGATAATCAGCCTTTGGCATAGCATGAGTCCACAAGCACTTCAAGGCTGTCGTAAGTTCATTCACAGCATCTCCCGGAATGATGGGTTCCCGGCCGGCCGTTAGTATCTATCCGCCAATCAGGTGTAGGCTCCAGGTCTAGGTTTCCACATGGGAGTTTCCGAAAATAGGGGACCCTAATATACGGCCCTACATAGTAGGATTCTTATTATAAGGACCCCAAAATACAGTACCCCTAATTTTCGGAAACTCCCACATGGTTTGTGTCTACATCAATCCTGTCAGCTTAGCCCCGGGCTCCTCCCCGAGCCACTCAACCTCAACCATTCCAGAGTCTGTGTCGGGGTTCTGGGCATGCCCTTAGAGCTAGATCCTACTGACAGTACATGCCCAAAGTCCCAAACGTAGTAAAGGCCCAGATCCTTAAAGCCCCAAGCCAAAAGAAGTGTAAAGCTCCCAAAGACGCAGACCTACAGCCCCACACTAAACCCTTCCTGTTTAGAGCCCGGGCTGCAACCCCAGCAAGGAGTGCGAAAAGCAGGGCACCATCAAAGAGTTCTTCTACATGATGGACAGGGGCTGAGGGTTCAGTGGTTCAGGTGTGGCAATCAAGAGGCAGAATCAGAGAAGTCCGGGTCTCGGATTTGGGTTGAGATTTAAGGTCAAGGCTGTCTATCTGCCTATCTATCTATCTCTCTGTCTATCCTTCTCTGTATGTGTTTCAGGGCAGCTCGTTTGCACTTCTCAGTCAGGTTCGCGACTAGTAGCTAAGGTCTCAGCAATACATCTCAATTCCTTGGTCTTTGAGATTGGGCATTCGTCATCTATTCCCTGAGCCCTAAATCCTTAATCCGAGGCTTCGCTAGATCGCTTAGAGTTTTCAAGCACACTTTTCATGCTACAATAGGTTTCCGCTTTCTGTGGTGGTCAGCGTCTATACGGCGCTTTGTATCAGGTCTGGCACGTACAGGTCAGGGTCACTGCTGTTTGGTGTAAAGTGTACGGCGTGTATGATTTGGGGAGCGCCTTGGTGAAGGCCGCGTCTGCAGTCGGCACGGAAACGACCAGTCAACGCCCTGTTTTCCTGAAGGACCAGGTGGGCACTGACAGAGGCTGGGCTTTCGTGACCTACGAGGCACGCGGGATGGCTCTCAGCACTAAGCTCTGAACCAAAAGTCTGCACAAATCCAGAGCTTCAAGGTTTAGGCCTTGGAAGGACTGCAGATCAAGCTTGGGCTTTCTGGGGTTGAAGGCTTTTGGGTTTGCTGATGCTGACTTTAGGACAGCAGGCTGCAGCATCCCTCGACCCTACCTTCCCCCACGCACAGAATACAGAGGTGTTTAGTAAGAACACCCCCTTGAAGTCCCTAGCCGTACCATTACACAGGACACAACTCCGTTCGGATTATTGAAGTCCCCTAAGCTGAAACAAACCGCAACAAACGTTTTGCCCGAGACGACTCTCCTTGCGAGACGGGGCTATTCCAGTTGCAGTGAGTTGAGTGGGTCAGCCCCCCCCCTTATAACTTTACATTGTGTCACGGGGCAATCTGTTACAAGCGGGCCGACTCAGATCGTTGGTGAAGACGTGGAACCCAAGTCACCTGGTTGTCACGGAGGCATGTAGGGTGAGGAGATGGTTGAGGGTTCAGGTGCATGTCAGACAACCTGGTACTACGAATGACCCGAATGATAAGATCGGGCCGAGATTCTGGATGCATCTGATTCAGCGGACCAACATGAGCCCTAAACCCGAAATACCAACCCTATAACCTGACCCCCGGGGCACTAACACAAACTGTAGTAGAAGGTTCGGTCTTGCGTTTGTAAGTCTGCCCTTCTTCCAGACGATCAAGTTTCACCACACCGACTACACCTCGACCTGGACCTCAGGGTGTCAGTTGTCTTATGGCCAGGCCACTAAACTCGTATATGAGCAGCCTAAAGATATGAAGCCAAACACTTCACTTGAATAGCTTGTTCTTTCGGCACCCAGGTCTTTCGACGCCTGTCACTTTCACACCTTGCCAAACCTGAACTCCGGACGTCCACGAACCTCACACCTTGAACCGACATCCGCCGACGTAAACCTTGAACAACATATAGTAAACAAAAACACACGCTCCAGGATGAGACGGAAGCTGCCGTCGCGGTCGCGATGTTCAACGGACAGCAGATCTTCGCCGGCAGCGCGCGGCCGCTGCAGTGCAAGCCAGGGGCCTAAAGTTCAAGCGGGGAGGGGTGGCCGAAGTGATTCCCGCAGAATTTCTTCCTTTGTGCCATTTGCACAGTTTTGGTAAGATATAAGTATCGTAGCTCCATCAGCCGCTAGACAAGAGCTTCTGAATGGATCAGAGCCCGGGAAGTCTCTTGGAAGTACTTGGAAGTAGCGTCGAGAGGCCTGAGGCTTAAATCCGGCACCCTCACCACTGCCCGAAACTTGCTTGTGACACCTCTTCCGTAGGGTGCGTTAGTATAGGCTTACACATATTATAGTCATAGTAGTTCACCATGTGAGGCCCTATATCACATGCATGACCCACCCTCACTCCAAGTTGTATCAGCAGAGGCCCAACTTTCAGTGCGCACAGACCCTTCAAGTAAGTGTCATTCTTAGTTTGGAATTTCGTTATACAACTTTGTGTTTCGGGTTTAGCCTAGACACCCCCAAGCGCACCGAAGAGTGAACTTTGAGCCATACAGGCAGCAGGCACGTTGCCGAATCCTACGCAAACTCTCCGCAGTTGGCCTAGGTTCGCCAACGAAAAGATCACCAAGATCGAGGGTACCGTCTTTGAGGTAAGTCATTGACATGTCTCGGGGTTGCAAAAGAACTAGGCGGGGACTTTGTGTTTGCTCCAGAAGAATACACATGCGAGTTCTATATAACTGTCGGTGTTTGAGGGGTTGCATGCTCTGGGTTTTGGGGTATTGGGGTTGCAGGCTTTAGTATTTACTGGCCTTAGTACGGTTTTGCAGCAGATTACACGCCGTAACAAGCCCGGGATGAAGGGGTCATCATTTGAGGAGTAGGGTTCCGTATCAATGGCACACTTCGAACTTCACTGAGCGGCAACTTGGTGTGTGCTAAATAAGTGGTTGAGCTTAGCAGAAGCAGGAAGGAACACAGCGAAGCCGCCAAAATCACCGGTTTGAAGTTTTGCGGGGGCGGCAACGAGGGATGCCTCATGGTGTTCCCTGCTGTTCGACATGTGAACTGACGAATGTCAATGACCTGGGTCTGGTGAGCAGAAGCTTAGCATTGCTGATTCTTGAGAATCTTGCATTTTTCCCGTTGCACCAACCTCCACGAACCCGAAGCCTACTCGCAAGCCGCAGGTTTTCAGTACAGTTGTAACCGACCTCAAGCACATGTTTCGGGTTCGAAGCCGGCCCAGCAAGACCTACCGATGCTCTTAACCAGAAACCCCAAATCCTTGCTCAACAGAGCCCCAAACCCGAACGCCGAAGCCTTGTCAAGCCGAAACCCTAAGCCTATTACAATTCAACACCAAGAGTGCTGCAGCCATAGCCCTAAACCCGATAATCCGAAACCCTGTCTCAGAACTCTCACGATCCTGCCATAAACCAAAGCCGAGAAGCGCAGCGAGCGGCCAGGCGCCGACGAAGGCTGTTACGCCCTGGCAGGAGTTCACCACTCCCGAGGGTAAGGCGCCTCCTAGGGTTTAGGGTTTAGGGGTAAGGCGCCCACTACTTTCCTTATTGGCTGTAAACTAAACTTTTCAACTTTTGGGGTTCTTATAAGGTAGTGGATTCTGAAGGTTTCAACTTTCATTTCCTTGGGTTTGGGCCAGTGAGTTTCAGGATTTGGGGTTCAGGGGCTCGGTTTCTGTAAGGATTCCGCCAAAAGCTCCTCAAGGAGTTCCTCAGATTGTTCCTTTAAGGGCTTCTTTGGCGGTTGGGTAAACTTAAGGTCAAACGTAGTGGCGAGGGTCGTTTAAACTCATGTCGTTTGCGGGAGGGAGGCCCTTTTTAAAGAGAATCGCACTATTTATGATTCCGACTTGCTTAGGATCCAGGGTGCATGGCCTAGGAAATTTGGGAGTGGAGAGTTTAGGGTGCAGGATTTAGGGTTGGGAGTGGTTGGGAGTAGTTACTGTGAAGCACTTAGAGTTTGCATAAGGAATTAGGATTGGCCAGTGGAATGGTGAAAGGCACGGTGCCGATGGGGCGCGGATGCAGATCAATTTCTTGAATCAGGATATACAGCTTGCCTCCCTTCTCACATAGCCTAACGGTGACAAGTGTCGGCCAGGCTGTTCCAAGACCGGCGAATTATAAGCAGCTCAGGGCAAACCCTACGATTTCAGCTGCTAGGTAGAGAACCAGCGTTTCAGATTTACCCGTCTGTGGTGCCCTCCCTGTCGAACGAGCACAAGGATGAAATCTGCAGCCTCCATCAGAGGTTGCTGCATTGTGCCTTTTGTTTTCACACTATGGATGTTATGCGACCCTAGGGTCCTCATCGCAAGCAGGCTTCATCCAGGTTCCAAGCATCATTCAAAGTGGCACTAACTTGGGTGCACACAGTGTAGGCGAACCCACTTGAACCCGAGACGTATAGTAGAAGCCGTGAACAACACCAGCCAGACCGTCCCTACCACACCGAGCTCAACACGTCAGTTTCAAGCGTCCTCGCGAAATCGAAACCACAACCCTGAAGTTATAGGATCCTTAAGGGGGGGTGGTTCAAGGGGGGAGGGTACTAGGGAGCTTTGGGGAACCTTAGGGAAGCTTAGGAAGTATTGGGGAATAATGGGGATTACTAGGTTACCTACCCCCCTTGGACCCCCCCCCTTAAGGACATCCTAATGAAGCAAACATTCCCGAGTTTTCTAGTATCAGGAATTTCCTGTAAAACAAAACCTGTAACCCTCGATCCTTCATTCTGCAGACCTTAAGGACGAGGCCTCAGATCCTGAACCTTGAGCGCCGGCCCAAAACCCTCCTTCAACGCCCACCGCAAACAAGCTGCAAACCGCCAGCCTTACTACTACAACAGCGTCACCAAAGAGACACGCTGGGAGAAACCTGCAGAGTGGGTCCCCCAGTTCAGCTCTGGGGTTCAGTGTCTTTTTGGGCTCTTCAAAAGGGTGTATGTTTATGGTTGGATGTAAGTTTAAAGATTCAGGGTTCCTGTAGCATTAGGGAGACCCCTTGAAGGGGACCCTGATCCTACTTCTGGCTCTCTTAAGAGGGCGGGTCTATATCCCCAAGCGTCCCCCGAGTCCTCACTCCTAGGGGTTAAGAGGTTGAGGTCGCGTCGAGGTTTCAGGGGCCCTCGGCCCTTAGGGGATCGGACGGAGGAAGCTTACATCCTAAGCTGGCAACCGCCTAAGACCTGAAAGCCGTACTCCCAAAGCTGTGGAACCCTGCAGATGCGAAGGGCCAGAGCCCAGACTTGTCAAACTTTACACCCCAATCACCTGCACCTAAGCCGCCCAGCCTCAGAATCTGCCTTAGGCCTAGCTTCATGTCGCTTAAACCCGAATCTGCAAAACAAGATTCCACACCCAACTCCCTGAACCTCTACAACCTAGACCCCTACGCCACTTTTGAAATCCCGAAACCGAAGCCACACACCCTGCGCAAATCCTTCACCCTAAGCCCTAATGCCAGACCTTGCAATCCTGAAACCGCGAAACCCCTTAAACTCCGTAGCCGAGCTCCCTAAGCCCCATTCTAGTAGATTGTAGCATATTTTGGTCTATCTGTTTTAGTTTGACATTGTAATATGCTATCTCACATTATGTTACACAGTATGATTGTATACCTCTGAAAGGGTTTCACTCACTGTCCCATGAGCCAGGCTCGGAGGACAGACTGCTGGATTCCCGGTTGTAGGGCTTGGAGATGTGGGATTTGGGGGTCAGGGGCTGGGGTTTGGGGTTTGGGGTCAGGTTTAGGATTCCGAGGATTTGGGTTTGATTTAAGGTTTTTGGTGTAAGATCTCGGGGATTTGGGTTTGGGATTTTGGGATTTGGGAGGATTGTGGTGAGGATGTTTCGAGTTTTCAGGGTTTTGCCGTTTCTGCGGGGCTTCTGGGATCAAGGCTGGTGGCTCCAACTTTCTGCTTTTGGGGTCAGAGCATGGTGATCCAGGCGATTTAAGCACTTGAGAGGGCTATTGGTATGGAAGGTGCACGGCTCCCCTGTACGATTTTTCCACAGCAGGAGATAGATCCCTACGTGACCAAAACCGTAACCCCCCCAAAGCAACACTTTGCAACACCGAAAACTGCAGCCAGCCTCAACGTGGACCATTCTGCTTCGAACACTATCCTCATGTCCGCGTGGGGTCTTGAAACACAGACTTGGCTGCTGAATGCTGCTGAACCACAATATCGCGATCCCGACTTTCAGCCAAGAGCCTTGTCAGGAATTGGAGTTGAGTTTGAAGCTAGCAGGGCAGCATCTCGGCGAAGCCGAAAGCCCTTCCTTGGGACTAAGGCCGCTGCTGCAGGAGCACCGGCCCTGCCTGGGGCCGCTGCAGGCAGAAAGCATCCAGGGTTGTATCGGGTTCGCCATATTCAGCGGCGAGAAGTATACGGTGAGGCTTCGGCTTTTGTGAGGTGCCGTGGGGTGCTCTCCGGGCTTGAGCTTTACGCCGAGAATCTAGACCTGGGATTTCTGGTATGGTAGGCTTGTCGTTCTTGGCTTTAGAGTGTGGGTTTCAGGGTACCTATCGGTTTTCTTGGGTGGACCACAACGACTGGGATTTGTGTTGGTCATGGGCTCAGGATGTGCTGCCTGAACCGTTGTCGCTTCTAGCAGTTTCTAGCTGCCTTGAAAGGATCATTCGGAGTTGATAGGCTGTTGACGGTGATTGTAATGTAGGACTGACAGGGCTCTCTCTGTAACTGATGTAGGCTCTGAGTTCAAAGTTTGAGGCTTCGGTGTGCATGCCCAAGCCCAAAGCTTGGATCCTGACTTGCCACACCGCAAAATCGAAATGCCAAATGCTCTGAATACATGAAACGAACTTAGGGCTTTGGGCTAGGTGTCCGGGCCGTGTGCTGCCAGGTAGCAGCACCACTGGGCAGCTGGCTCTCACACAGGCCGGGCTTGGGAACGGAAAGCCTGCCAGTTTGTCTCGGTTGAGTGTTCGGGGGCCAGGGTATTCAAGGACTGCGCCGTGGGTGCCGGATGTTTTTGTGGTACAGATTCAGGCTCTTGGCCTTCTTGGGTCTTAGCACCCTGCATCCTCGAAGGGGGTCAGGATCCTGTGATGCCTTGGAGTTGTTGTGGTTGGCTGAAGTCTACATACCTATGGAATCGGTCACTTCAACTCTAGACTTATTGCGAGTTTGGCAGCTTTCAGAGGTTTGTGCCCAGGATAGTATGATAAGTCTTGGACCCGCAAGCTTTTCAAGCCTACTGCAACTTATACCTTGGTCTACACAGCCTGTACGCCGAAATCCCAGGTTCCAAAGCTTACGCGCCTATTGTCCTATTAGTTTCGAAGGAACCTGAACCACCTGGACCCATAGGGCAGTGCTTCTGTGAAGGCCGCACTGCCGGCAATGCAAGGAGGCAATGGTCCGCCAGGACTGCCAGCTGTGTAGGGCAATTACTGGGACACAGGTTTAATGTTTCCGCTTGCAGACCTTTGCGCTCCATTTCTCTGTTGGCTTGAGGGGCTGGCTTATCTCGAGCCTTCAAAAGTCATCAAACAGGTTGGAACAGCTAGAAGACCAAGTTGTGACTCTCGGGTCGAGGGTATCAGGCATCAGGGTACGATCTGCCAGTACAGCCACTCATTGACTCCAGGGTCTAGGGCCTATGGACTTAAAGTGCTCTGGGCTTTGCGTTTGTGTTTCAGGTCGCATTTCCTTGGTCCTTGCAGTATGCGAACTTAGAGTTTCGGCTTTGCGATGCGCCCCTGATTGACTTTTGCTTAAGTCCCAACAACGAGTCCTAAAGAGCATTTGCTGTTTGCTCGTCGGTTAGGAGGGTATTCGTGTCAGCCACTGCTATTGTGTGCGTAGAGTATCGCTTGCTCGTTGGTCAGGAGGGGTTGTTCGTGTCAGCCACGGCGTGCGCAGAGTAGATTTGGCTTACTTTTGCTGCTTGCTCTTTGGTTAGGAGGGGTTGTTCGTGTCAGCCACAGCTGCATTGAACTCTAACTTATCAATGCAACTGTGAGCATTCATTGCTGCTGCCATTGCGGCTGGTTGTGTCTATTGCGAGTCTCTGCACGTCTGTCGTTGTTGCGCCGTCCGGTTTCTACTAGTTTCATCATGCTCGTGTGTCTAATACCCTTCGCCAGTGTTGTCCCTTCTTCATGTTTTTGCTTGGTAGCGGTCGTGTGCCTTTTCATTGTCGAGAGTTGCACGACACGAGGCAGCCACACGGCCAAATAAGGATAGTGATGATGGTGGTGGTGACGGTGATGCTGATGATTCTCATGATTCTGTTGGGTTTCGCAGGAGCGAACATCTTTGTCTTCCATGTTCCGATTAATTGGACCGACGACGACTTCAACGCCCACTTCTCACCGCTACTTCGCAGCATTCATGTGATGCGCAGCCTACCGAGGTGTCGAGCATTTCCCCACATGGAGAGCCGTAGAACCAAAACAGTTAAACTTGCGTCCAACCATTCAATTGCTATGTCCGTCTTCAGTGAATGTGCAAGAGGTTGCAGTCTGAGATTACCGCATCCTTCATCTACGCAGCCGTGGTGCATGGATTGCAGCTTTGGTCTTAAACCCGCAACTAAACCTCTGAACCCAAATGCCAAACTGTCGTGACTCCAGTGAATAGCTGCCTCCACCCCTCGACTCCTGTCCTGAGAAACACGTCCTTGCAAATCTCAGTTCTTCTCCACCTTCTTGCAATGAGGTCGTGTTAAGGGTTCTGATCCTATAGTCCAGAAGCCCTGAAGCACTAACTCTCCTGAATGGAGAAGGTCCCGAGCCTCAAAATCCTACAAGCTCAAGAATGACATCCCGTAAGATCAATGTCGATGCTGTGAAGCAGGTTCGGCCAGATCGTGTCTGCCAAGATTCACGTGGATCCAGTTACGAAGGCCGATCCCAGTGTTGGTTGTTACTGTTCGTTTTGTAGTGGTCGTATCAGTAGTGTTCGTGTGTTCAGGGCTCCGATCTCGAGGCAGACTAGACAGACGGATTCGGGCCCAGCGTTGAGAAGCTTATCTGTTTGCTACAGCTGGTGCACAGGCTGCCGAACTTTGGGGTTGTGAGGTATAGAACTACGATTCCTGAAATTTGCCACTTCGAGTTTGCTTCTTGGGACATGGGCTGCAAGGTTTCACGCAGACAGCATCGTACAAAGTCGGGTCTCTTTTGGTCGCAAGATTCCTTAGCACAAGTATGTGGTGAAGTACCCAGAACCAATTTCACTCTCTGCATGTTGGTGTTGTATGTTTGCAGGTATGCATGGTTCGTAAGTATGGAGAGAGACAGTAAGTCGACATGGACATGGGCCTGTCTGTGCTCAAAGATCACTTCTGGTCTCGGCTGTGCCGACAAGTCAGGCTTAGTCCACAGGACTCAACGCCCCGACATCCGAAAATCTCCAACCTTAGCTCCGCAACCCCATGGGCAAGCCCAGCCAATGCCGAAGGATTGGGTATCGAACCCAAATAGCATGCTAAGCTCTGACCTTCCAGGATACCAGCACCCGGCATCGCCTGAATGTTGAAGAAGCAGCGCCAAAATCAAGCGACGCAAAATGCCGAAGCAACAATGGCCACAGGAGCCCTGCTCAGACTACATACTTCTCTGCCCTTTGCAGCCCTTCTTCAAACCCCAAATCCCGAAGCCCTACTTGCACTGGATAATGAACCCTAAACCCTACTAAACCCTAAACCCTAAACCCTACTAAACCCTACTAAACCCTAAACCCTACTAACTACTAAACCCTCCACCCTAAAGGCCCTAAACCCTAAACCCCTAAAGCCCCTAAAGTCCCTAAAGGCCCTTTAGAGGCCCGAATGGCCCCAATGCCAGGCCTCGAAAGGCTTCGGCTTCTGCTCGTATTTGTCAACTCAAGCAGCCACGATGGCCATTAAAGGTATGAACGGCCGGTGCCTCAGGCTTACAACTATGGGCTATTAGACCTTATGGGTACCTTAATCTACCCTTAATAGGGTCCTAATAGGGATCTTGAGGGTCTAATGGCCCATAGTGGTACAGCAGCTACATAGTGGTTGTGTGGCTCGAGGCTTCAGGGTTTAGGCCTTGGGATGTTGGGGTGGAGGTTCCAGTTTTGGGGCTGTCGGAATTTCAGTATCAGGAGCAAGGTTCCGGTCTAGGCTTTAGCTGTCGAGGTTTCGGGGCACAGGCGGGTATGTTCAGACTTTCTAAGTGTTCAGAGTTTGGGGAGGTACTCCAGATGTCCTTGGGTGTGCTGCCCCACGTGATTCTAAAAGTTGAAGCAAAAATCGTCTAAATAAACTCTCTTCTACATGATTGATGCCACGTTAGCTATGGAGCTTGTGCCGTGTCTGGAGCTCGTCCCATGACGACTCTAGGGAAATCGCTCGCATAATCTATGTTGAGTCAACTATCCCCATGTCAGAGCCCCATGCATCATGCACCTGGGCCTTACTGTATAGTTCTCCTATGGCAAGTTCAGGGCAGAAGCAGGTAATTACAGTCTGTGCTAGATAAGTCTAGTGAATCGGGGAATCGGACCCTTGTAGTTGTATTTTATCCCAGCATGCGAAGACACGAGGCTTCGACACCAAGCAGGGCAAGTTCCTGAAAGTCACCATCAAGAAAGGTGAGGAACAGTGCCTGGTCGCTGATAAACAGACAAACCCAGACACCGGGGCTCCAAGATGTTCTGTTTAAGGATTTCGGCCTCACTGAAGGACTGTTTTAAGAGCGAGGGACAGGGCCAGCGGTTCAGGTCACACGAATGCGGGTTCAGGGTTTGGGTTCTGAAGTGGTGTTGTTGAGGTTGCCGGGCTTAGCATCGCAGGCTTCCTTTCTAGAATCCTACGTAGAACCTATGGCTGGAGGTCGCTTGCATAGGGTCGGGTATAGAGGTGGAAAAAGTCTCCGGTTCCAGGTGCAAAAGACAAGTACAGTGAAGGATGACAATCGACGAAACGGCGAAACCAATGCCAGCAGCAATGAGTCACCACAAACCCATCGAGGTCAGTAAGGATGCCAGAGTGTTGTTGTGGTGGTACAGCAGTCTAGCTTGAGATCCTCGGTCAGCTTAACGGGAATGTGGAGACGTGGGTGCAAGGATTGGCATACCTCACACCCTCCCAAAGAATCAGGCACAAGTGTGGCCTTATGCTCGTGGGTATCGGCTGCAGTAAATTTCCTGTCTCAATCAACTTGGATCTTAGGTACAACCCGGACGCCGTCTCAGCACAGAACGTGCCGGTGCCTGCCACAGCGGTTAGGAGTCAAGGGCTGGACGCTGCCGAAACCTGGAGCCCAAAGTTCTGCGACAGACCTCTAACCAGTTCAAGACGTGTGGCGCACTGTCTGGGAAAATTACTGCCTACTGCTTTATAGCTACGGTCCGAGTATAGTACCGCCGTGCAATTGATACAATGGCCCACATGTCAGGCTCGTGTGGAAACCCAAAGTTCAAATCTGCAGCCCTAGACTTGGCTCATGACGACGTTTTGGCCCAACAGAGCCTGTAAGAATGTAAGGATGGTCGTCCCAGGCCAGATCTTCCCAGTGAAAGGCTCGGACGTAGTAGTAGCCGACACACTATATACTGTAGTGACAATAGCACTCTTCAGCATACTTGCCTGTGCCGAGCCTTGCACACCAAACACACCTGCAGCTACCCGGATCGGCCTGGGGCTTCATTCTGGAGGGCTCGCAAAAGCAGAAGCAGAGACGTGCATACATGCATGTAAGGCTTGCATGTAAGTTTTGTCATAACGACATCAAGCATGCACACTTGAGATTAGCTTCAAGTTTAGCAGTTTGATTAAGTTACGAGAAATTTTGCAGCACTCCAAGTCTCATATGCCTGCGGCAGCAGGACCGGGCAGCCGTAAGAAAGCGTCTGCACTCCTAGATACCCGAGACGTTAAGCCATGAACCGTAGCTCGTAGCAGACCGTGTGGCCTTGACTCAGCATTTCTAAAACCCGCAAACAAGCATGGCAATTGCCATTGCAAGATTAATTCACCACATTTAGATCGAGTGATGCTAACGTCAGTCAGGTTTGTGGTGGTTTGTACACACTGAAGATGACCACAGTGAGAGCGAGCACAAGCAACCCGTGCATCCTTATCAACGTGACTGGCCGCAAACTCTTTAATCCTTGCCTTCCAAAGCCGGAAGCCGAAGACCCACAATCAGGCCGCTCGCGTTTAGGGGCTCAAAGTTAGTGCTATTCAGTCGCTCAGGTGCAAACGGGAGCAACATCCACAACTCCAGCCATTGTTGGTCGCCTGCTCAGACCTTACATAAACAAGACCGTATACTGGTTGTACGAGCCTGTAACAAAACTCGTTATAAATCTCCATGAAGCTTTTGAGACGGATTTATACAGACCCAAACCTCAAGGACAAAAGGCATTGGTTTAAATTCTGAAGGCCCAGCCTGACTCTTCAAGTTTTGGGACTCTCAGTCGTTTGGCTTTGATTGCCGGCTGCGCGGCAACCTTCCGGAGAGCCGGGGTAGATCAGTTCTTGGGTTTGTTGTTGGGACCAGCATAGGGGGTTTACAGTTTTCTGAGTTATAGGGTTTGTGTTAGACATGTCACGGTGCTTGGACTACGGATTCTGATCATTTTTTCCGTAACTTGAGTCTTATGCGGCACAGGGTCCTTCAAAATTTGTGCATGTCAATGTGATCCCCTCAAACACCGCAAACCCTGCATCCTGCACCTCATGTGTCTCGATCGGCTGATCCTGGAAGCCCGCACTCAAAACTCTACACCCTGAAGCCTTTCGTTGAAACACCTGCCTGACCTGACCTCTCGAGCTCCTCATACAAACCCACAAAACCCTAAGCCTAAGTTCTGAGCGTTCTTGGATGATGTTCATGCCCAACTGACTGAACCCTGGACCCTGGGAGTCCTAAACCCTAAACGCCAAATTAGGGTTTGGGCTTCAGGGTTCCAGGTTTTGGTCTTGAAAGTTCTAAGGCTTCTGGTGCTAAGATCTCGTCAAAGCATACCCCACATCTTGGGTGCCTCCTTCCCTGCACACCAATCCGAATCCCCCCTGAATATTCTGAGCCCAACCCTAAGCCCTTAAGCTTAGCAAATTAACCCCAGCAACCCCGTCTGATTCTGCCAGGCGTGCAGCCCACTGTCGCGATGGGTGTGGACTCCTCCACGCTGGCTGCGGCAGCTTCGTCGGGCAAGCTTGTGAAGGCCCGGCGTAGAGATGTAGCGGCGTAGCGGTTCCGGGATTTCGGAGGCAAAGGGTTTAGGTTTGCAGGGATGTGGGGATCTGGGGGGATCTAGATCTTCCGGGATGTCGGGTTTTGGGGTCAGGTGGTTTTTAGCTCTCAGCCTCAGTATCTAGTAGAAACTAATCTACAACTGCCAAGAGCTGCTGCAACCCAGTAAATGCTCTGGAGGTTCCACAACCCGAGAATGTTATTTGTTGATTGGAGGTGTTCCGATTTCGGGGGGCGCACCGGGACCTCCTGCGATTTCGGATGAACCTGATCGAGAGCCTTTATGCCTTTTGCCCAACGTGTTTGTCAATGAGTATAAGAGCCGAAAAGGTATCCAGCAGTAGGATCTGTTTGGTCCAAGCCCCTTGTCTACATGTCTACATAGCAATCGAGCCCTTTCTTGTCATTGCTGGTACCTTTATCAAAGACGTGCTGTTGCGCTGCTGTTGGGCTTTATACTAGGCACTGAACCCAGGTGTCTAGTGTACACCCAGATGTCTGGCATGACTTGCTTGCACCTCCGCAAAATGCCTCTAATATGTCAGAACTCTACAACCCTACACTCAAAGCATCCCAAAGCTCGATACTCCTCTAAAGCCTTAGCCCCTTTGATGCAAGGCCAGTCCGACGCAACCGCCGGCACCACTGGCACTACCTGGGCTTGGGCCTTAGGGTTTCGGGTGGAGGGCCAATCGAGGAAGGCTCGCTGTAGTATAGGAGTCGGAATTATTCGGAGTACTCTTCCTTTAGTATACTATGGACACCTTCAAAACCCTGATCCAACTGTTACGGCGTCGAGATTTGGTTTCGAGGTCTTGGGCCAGGGTTTAGGGTTCTGGCTTGACTGAGTAAAGAGTTTGTGGTTGAAAGTCCTGGTGTATGGATCCGGGTATCTGCCAAACTACACCGCACAGACAGTAATGACGAATATTGACATCTAAACGAGAACTGCTACATGCTCTGCAACAAAAAGCTTCTGCCTAGCACCAAATACTGGTCCAACAGGACCAACAGAAAACCTGGTCGCAATGCTGCCAACGGACAGAAGCCCGTGTGCAGACATATGCATACAGCAAGCCAGCTTTGGAAGTTCTCCTAACTCTGACCTTCAAGCCAACTCGGATAAGCCAGAAATCCTGAAGGTTGAGTTTAGGGTTGGCAGCCTTGGTCTAAACGCAGTGGGCATTCAGATTTAAGATGCTTAGCCCAGTCAGGCAGAACTAGTTTCAGGCTTCACGGTGCTAGGCTAGGGGTTTTGCAGAATTGATACCAGAAAGCTTGTGAGCATATTCACTTGGCGTCAGAGCCTTCTAGCAGAGAGTCACACAAGGCTCGGGGCGGTCGGGAGTCTAAGCCCCGGGGCAGGTGAGACTTACATGGCAGCAACCGCCCGCAGCTATGAATACCGCATGCCTCAACAACCCGAACCGACGAAACCCAGCCTGAGCCTGTATTGAAACGTTTAAACAATCCCCAGGCTATAGACTGTAGACGCTGATCCTAAACCTTCAAGCAAGAAGCCCGAAGACACTGTCAAACTCCAAGACCTCCACTTTCCGAGCCCTACAAACATGATCTAGAGCCCAATGAAGCAAAGAACAAACAAAGACAACACCGACACCAACACCAAGCTAGATCCTCGACCCACAGTCACCCGAACACCATAGTCCCTTCCAGCAACTGAAGCCAACCAGGGCCGGCGAACCCGGACCAGGTCCAAATGGGTAGGGTCTTGTGCCAGGTTTGTTGTGGTGAGGAGTTGGGGGGGTGGGGGGGGGGGGGGGGGGGGGGGGGGTCGGGATTTAGTGTTATTGGCGTTTGCCGATCAGGCTTTCGAGTCTGCTTCTTGAGGCATAAGGTCTTCGGGGTCAAGCGTCAGCGTCGGCGTCAGGCGTTCGTTTCTGCAGATTGCGACCCCTCTTTGAGGGGTCCTTCTTACAGACTTACAGCAGACATGAAGATAAGAACGGACCTGGCACAGGAAGCTGAGAGAGCTGTGCTGCGCGAGGCATGCCTGCGAGTTTCCAGTTTTGCGGGCAGTACGTTGTAGCTCGGGTATGGGGTTTCGGTTTCGTTTTTGTAATTCCGATTTATTGGCTGGCTGGTCGTTGAACAGAGTTAACTGTTTCATGAACTCTTACTGTTTGCATGACAGTGATGACAGGTAGGTCGTAGCATGAGTAGTGCTCATTCGCCTTAAGTCGAGACCCCAGGAACAGGAACAGCAATCCTGTTGAGGATGCTTAATACATGTGCTCATGCATCAGTTCGCTGATTTGCGTGGAGACAGACAAGAGGCTCGAATTGTGTTTCAGACCGGGTATTGGGTTAAGAAGCTGATGCAGCATTGGCCGGATTACAAGAGACTTATGCCGCCCAATGCTTTAGTTGTGATCAGGCCAAGCTGAGGCAGTTTGGGCGCGAATACAAGACGACGAGTGACTAGACAATTACTGCCAAGCCTACCTACCAGTAGCACGGCACGATGGACCATGCCCTCAGCTCATGTAGTCAACCGATCCACGAACGTTGGTCCCCGGACAAGCGGTCCCAAACGAAAAGGAACCACCGCCTGAGCAACTCCAGGTGTTCTCATCCCGTTGGCAGCGTCTCGTAAGATGTGAGCAGTTCTGTCAACCAGCGATGTGGCGGAATGCAAAACAGGTAGAGAAGACTTCAATTGCTTCTTGAGATGTTTCGAGAAGAACTTGTTCAGGAGCCGCTTCCTGCAAGAACAGCAAAACCTGAGCCAGACACCCTGAACCACCCCGAACCTCCTTGAACATGTGTTGTAATCCTAGGGGTCTGAAGTTCTATCCTTGCGAAACGTACGAAGAGGCCCAAAAGTGAGGTGGTCTAGCTTAAAGCATATGCATACAGATGGATGGATAGGGATGAGAGACAAGATAGAGACGTAGATTTACAGAACAGATAGATGGGTACGCAGATAGATAGAAAGATGGACAGCTGCACAAACAGATAGACTGCTGGATAGATGAGTGGATACATAGGTGGATAGTTAGATAGTGGATAAATCGAGCGATCGACTCCTGTGATTGGTTCGTTCAAGCATATCTAATTCACGCTGATGGGCCTGATACCTCTCCATCCATGTATCCTGCAACTCTTCTCTACCCAGCACGAAACTCTGAACGCCTCTTCAAAGTATCCGGGACTCAACTGAGCTTGTCAACCCGAGCTAATCCCGCTGCATTCCTGGATCCGAAGCCTGACTTCAGTCTCAACCCTAACAAGTCTCGGAGAGATCCAGATTTTTTCCTCGAAAATCTTGTTTTTTGCGAATGATATGGGTAGGAACCACGCTCGCCACAATAATGATGTGACTGGTTGTACATAGCACAGGCAGATTGGTCGCGGTGTCTAGGAGTCTGGCTGTGGTTTCCAACTCAAGTTGATGCGGACTCAAGGCCCTAACTTAGGGCATCCTTCTTTCCCAGCCTCTCCCTAACCCAACCCAATCTTTCAGCACAGAAGAAAAGCAAGATCCGAAGCAGTTCCCAGCCCCAACGCTTCGGCGTTGTTGTTCCCAGTTGTTTCTTTACATTCATGTCATTCCATTCTGTGATGTTCGCGAAATATGGTTCAGTCCGTTCGACGGCCCACAACTAACCTACAACATCCCTGACCAAATCTAAGACTCTCATTTAATGGATGCTAGCAGCTAGCAAACGGTTTTGATTTGAGGATTCCCGGTTCTCCCTGGAAAAAGGTCCAGGAATCGTTCCAAGCGTATGTAGGAAGATTAGGAAGCTGAGATGCGTGCCGCTGCAGATGACTCCTAGATGTTGGGTGTAGGGTACAGAGGCTTAGGGTTTACCCCGCACTTTCTAAGCTTTAACCCTGCGCAATGCTGGGATTCATTCAGCCCCATTGCTTTGCCCATGAACCAATACCGCAGCTGAAAGAATTCAGGGAGTCATTAAAGCAAAGCGAAAGTTATCAAGCGCAGTTTAGGATGTAGCGTCCTTGGCAGTATCCGAAACAAAGCGAGCAAAGTTGTCCTTGACTCTTTTGAGGGCGGCAATTCGCCCAATGCCCAAAGATCCAATTTCTCCCTCCGTCAGCCAAATCCCGAGCCAGAAACAAATAAACTTCAAGCAGCGCATACTCCATACTCTCAACCAGGACTCGACGACCCTCAACCCCGCCAGCTCTCGGACTCAACCCCTTTGAGCAATTACAGATGACGTCCGTCGCATCCGTGCCATGACGATGCGTCGGGCGGGTTGTCGTGGCTCATGAGGCCGCCCCGCTGGGCAGGGGTTTAGGTTTCGTTGTTCCTTCTGTGTTATGCTTTGTGCGGATTCTAGGTAACAAAGTAATCCACATGGCGGGGATATGTCGTAAGCCAAAAATAGACACCAAGCCAGGTACCCCGAGCTGTTCTTATGTGAACCAAAAGCTTAGCGGAACCGCATCCGACCGACCCCTCCACTCTGGTCTCGAGATCCTGATTACACTTCTAGACTATAGACAGACTTCGAGTTGAACACCCGCAATTCCTGAGCTTCAAGGCCCTAAGTGTTTGGGACTTGACAAAACTTTGTTTCTGGGGAAAACCAACTCGCCCTCAACCCTCAAGCCCGTTCCTATCCTTCGGTTTATAGTAGCAACCCTCAAAGTAACACTTACAGTCATCAGGAATCCTTACACGAATCGACTTGCAGCAGTACCAATAATTACTGTTCCAGAAACTTTGACAAATTGCGATTTAGAGTCCCAGAGGCCAACAGAGCCTTCGGGCAACCCGCCGCGACCGCCGGGTCTGCCGGAGGGCCAGGCAGCTGCTGGGGTTTTAAAGGATGTTGTCGGGTTCTTTCGGTATAGTCCTATTAGGACTCCGATTTTAATCTGTAATTACTTTGGTGAACTCAGGTGTTCCTGCCGGGTTTGTGTTTTTGTTCGGGGTGAAGTTGGCTGGTATCTATCTTGTCGTTAATGTGGACACCAAGACTATTTCGCTGTGTGGAGCTGCTGTTGCAGATGCTGCTGTTCATGTTGCTACTTTTTTCTTATATAATGTGTTTGCGCACTCCAGCATGTTCGCACGAAAGGGGTCGAGAGTGGAGTAATTGCCGTAACGGGAACAGGCTGTCCGCAACGGGCACCTGTAACAGGAACGAGGGCCCACTCCGTAAAAGAAACCCCGGTTCCCGTAAACACCACCGGGAACGGCCTCATATATAACAGGAACCAGGGGACAGGCTCCGGGACTTCTTTCTTTCACGTCCCGCATGTCTCTTGGCGTCCAAACTCAGGGACCGTTTTCCGGTCCCCGACTTACAAGGCTTCAGACCTACGATGCCAGCATTCAGTTGCAGCCAGCAGGAATTGCACGACGAAGGCTGCTTTGAATACAGTCCCCAAATGCCGGGCTAAAGGCTCCATCTGTAGGCGTGGCAGCCCCTGCGCAGCGCTTGGTCAGCGAGGAGCCCTGGGATCAGGCGCACCACAGGCCCTCATCCGATGCGCACTACAAGCCTGCGCTATAAACCACCATGTTGCCGCAGGCCGCGCTCTTTTGGAAATGGGATGCGCTGTCAATGAGCTTGACAGTCACGGCTACGTTCCCAGGCATCTAGCATGCCAATCCGGCTTGGATATTATCTCGATGCTGCTTGCGCACAGTGCGCAGAAGAACATCAAGAAATGGACAAACAGCGGTTCAATGCGCAAGCGAGGCTGATGACGTTTGTCAAGTGGGAAAGAAGCATAATAGGAAATACAGTCCCTCATAGACCAGAGACCAATTTCGCGAAGAAGTGCAAGCGATTGGTAGAGGCGTTTGCGAAGATAGGGGGTGTGGGGGAAGGAGGGTAGTAGGTGGGGGTAGGTGGTAAGGGAGTGAGGGTAAGGGGGGGTAGGGAGGGGGGGGGAAGGCGGGGCAGTCGCATCATTTCTACAATCACAAAGTAGGAGGAGTAAGGGTTGACCCTCCCCGGTGCTCACCCCCAGGCACGGACGTTCTTGGCGAGCTAAAAGCGTTCGCTTCGAAACTCCACACAAAAAAAACAATGTGTTTTTTTTTGGCTTCCCCGAGCTCCTCCCACAAGCAAACCGTGAATGTCATTCAACCCGAATCTTTGGATGCCGTGAATAAAAAATGCGTGAACATTAGAATTCAATGGCTGTAATGTAGGGGAACCGAAAGTAGGTCCCTTACACAAAACCTGCAACAAAGCATCGCCTGTTTGGTTTTTAGCCGTACTCGTAGTTTCTGTTGTGCTCGGGTGGCGGTTCCTGTTTCTACGCGCGACTGTTTCCGTTGCTGTCTCCGGAACTGGTTTCCGTTACTCCCCAAACTGGTTCCTCTTACTCCCCGCACCCGTCGAGGGTGGGGTGGCGCACGCACCTGCACAGACTAGCACCCCAACGAAAATTGCAGGAACTGAGCAAACCCGTCTCCGACTACACTTGCACGTTGTTCGCGATGCCTGCGTTTTGCACTGTGCTCACAATGGCTTGGCACTATCCCAGCACACTTGGTTCGGCAGTTTTTTCTTGTGGGTTCCGGGGGGTGGGCAAGTAACAACATGACTGGATTCAGACCAGCCACCTGATTACCTTTGCCCTATACTTTATCCAGCCCTCGGCTCCAAAAACATCCTTGTCCAAATCCTAAAGCCCTACAGGCTGGAAGCACCACAAACCCTGGAAAGGAGAGACCACGTCTCGTCTCCAACGCCAAGCTGCGGAGCCTAAGCGAAGGCCGGACTAAAAGCCGAAAAAGCACGAAGCAAGCATGCAGGATGAGGGTGCTTGTCTGTGGCTTGGGCTTTAGGAAGTTTAGGGACGTTTAAGGGTAATGTAGTTTAGGCGGCAGGACCCCTCAGCCCTGAAAAACACCGATTGAAACGACCTCCGCTCCTGGATAAAGTTCAAGGTGTAGCAACAGGGGTCCGAAAATTTCCTCATTGATGTTCGCTTCTACTCTTTATGTGGCGAAACTCCACACCTTGCTCTGATTGTTCGAGGCTTCTATTCGAGAGTGTAGGGTTGAGGCCCTGATGTTGCAGGGCTTCGAGCCGCAGGGTGCAAGGGTTTTTTATCTTGAGCTTGGGTCAGGCCTGCGTCTTGGTGCTTGCGAAGTTTAATACATGGAGCGTAGAGCAGAGCTTTTGATCAGGCTTGGGAGAGTTGTTTACCTACCGCGCAACCCTGCATCCTGAACCCTGGAGCTGAAGATTCCACGCGTTTCTGTAAGGGCTTGAGGCATAGTTCGGAGCCTCGCCCTGGCCTCTGAGAGCTATACGGGCCAATATTTCAAGGTTTGCTGGCGTCGAGGACCAGCGCTCAGAAGGCATGTCACACAGAATACTTGAAGCACAGCACCACACCTCGACACCCAGAAGCTCAGCTGCACACTGTCGTAGTCAGCATGTAGCCCGAAACCAGTTCAATCCGCGTGCCTCCTATGAAGCCTATATAAGCCCCCCAAACTATCCTAGCCCCCGACGTTTCCGTCCTTGCAAGCCCAGCCGCAGCAAATCCCGAGTATTTCAGCCCGAGTCAGAAACGTTGAGCAGGGCCACACAAAACCACGCCCGCCCAAAGCGCTTCGATCTCCTGGAAGTCCTACGCCTCAGAGCCAGAGCCCAGAAAAGGCCCTGCATATTCGGTGGTCTTGGGTTTGAGGCTTGGCGTGTTTCCGCCAGGGTTTGTTATTGGCTTCACAGAGAAGAAAATTGCATAAATGATCCTCCATAAATGATATGTAATCTTTGCAAAAATGATCCTACAAGCCTCAATGTGAGACAGAAAGGAGAGAGAGGAGAGAGAGAGAGAGACAGAGAGAGAGAGAGAGAGAGAGAGAGAGAGAGACAGAGAGTGTGTGTGTGTGTTGTGCATTTCTGTTTAGGGTTGTGCCTGGGCTTCATTCCAGCATGCGTTGAACCTCTGGGGTACGTTGCGGGTGGAGATCCGAGCAGGCCCAGCAGATGGACGAGCCTCCAGGGATTTTGGCGAGGAGGCAGATTCCGTTCGGTGGCCTTCGAAACAGCAAAAACATGGGCCTAGCATCCCTGACCCCGAAACCTTCAACCTAAGACCCTTCGCCAAACGCCCGAGCCCAGAGCTGCTTGAAGCCGAAGCTCCCCGCACATATCCGTAAGCCCCGAACTCGAGAGCTCTATTCCTGCCGACAAGTCTGTGTCTTGGACCAAGTTAGCCGCCATCTCAGCATAGAATGCAATAATATGCAGGTTTGTACAAACTAGCAATAGTTGGGCGGCTGGACGATTGGACGAATTCTTAGGCGAGGTCCACGCCACGGTAAAGTTCGAACCACATCTCCCAAGTTATGATCTAAGCTCGTTCGCTAAATCGTCTCATCCCCCACAGCTTTCTCACGTATCATGGTGCCTGACCCTGGGCCTATAAGGGATGTCGGGCTTGGGTAGGGTAGTTTGAGCTCTCGTGTCCAGCCACGACTAGCACTAGTCTGGAATCTCGACACCAGTTCAGGGTTTACATTAGATAGGACTGGTTCATTCTTATACAGCAGAGCTGCCGCGGAGTGCTCCTCTCCAGCAGAGTTTTTTCTTCTTTGTTTTGCACCTAAAGGGTGCTAAGTATCTGGCTACTAGAAAGTTAAGCTTTTTATGTTGCGACTTGGTGTCGTGCGTGTAAGTGTCCCTAATATAGGTACCTAGGATCCCTTGGGTACTGGCTCCGGTGGAGTTCCAGGCGACCCCTACGCCGGAGAGCCTGCCTCATTCCCCCAAGTTTCAATGCTCAACACCGCAGGACACCGAAGGAGCCGCTGGTCGCCCCGGGGCTCACAACATCCTCGTGGCAGTGAGGTGGCTTTGTCATACAGGTTCGGTTTAGGGTTCACCGCAACCCTAAACAACCCAAGAACCCAAACTAAAACTTTACAACCTGATCCTTTATGGACCCCACATGCCTAAAGGCCTCCACACGAAAACCCGAAACCTTGAGCCTCCCAACACCCGAAATACTAAACCGATAAGCAACCACCCCAAACCCTTGACTTAGGTCCTATGATAAAACCGAACTCCCTAGAAACGTAAACCTCTCTCAGACACTCTGGGCTGCAGGGGCAGATGTCTCAAGTTTGGAGACACTGCATGCACTCGTCCCGCAGGGTGTCTGTGCAATGATAGTCATTTCGAGACAGGGTCCTACGACATAGGGCCATCATGTCAATAGCGGCAGCCGAGCGAGAAGCATCGCAAGAATGCATTGATTGCGCTTTCGTGGTTCCAGCTGCTACATGGGTTGTTAAAGAGCAGGTTCGCACAGTTGGGCATCCATGTTATGCTCCGTTTGCACACGGGGTGGGAGCGGCACCTGGGAACTCTAGCCCGTGCTGCCAACTTGTGGCTTTTGTTCCGAATCCACATTATGCAACTGCAGCAGTTTCGACCGAACTTTTATTCATTGTAGAGTAGACGTCCATGTAGAACTTTATGGGCTTGGTTTTTGGGTTTGCGGGTCAGGGATCGAATGCAGTTCAAGAGTTTAGCGTTCAGGGGATTCAGCGTTTGGGAGCGGCACGTTCGAGAGCGAAGCGAAGAGGATGCATGATGGAGGACGACTTTGAACAGAGGGCATGGCCTTTTATTGCAGCTTCACTAATGGCTGATAATAGCAACTAGTGGGCCTTGGTGCTTGGTCCAATGCTTAAAGTTTCGCTCCTAAACCAATACAGTAGGCCCTAAGCAACGACATTCAGAATTATTGCCCTTCGATTAATCGCATCTTCACAATCTGAGTCCTGTCTGGTTTACTGCAGGATAGTCTAGGGCCAGGTTTTAGATGTTGTTTATCGAGTTATGGTTTGAGTTTTTTGGTATCGTCGGATCAATGAGCACCACTTAACTTGTTCACTGGTTCAAGGAGTTTAAGCTTACTGACGGCCTTCAGGTTTGTAGATGTCGCATAGAACGTTTGCGCCTCTTGAATATGTCAAAAGTTGCAAGACAACTGGCCACGGAGTCCGGCACCGTGAGCTCCAATAATATCGCTGCGTAGTCTTTTATCATGGTATCTCCCAAAACCCAACGGTTCAGGGCCTTGTCTTAACCCTTAGGCACTACATGCCAATCGTGGCACGGAATCTGAACGCCAACGGCGACTCGCTTGACTCTGGATCCCCACAATGCAAAGGACCTCCCTCCATTCCTGGGCCTGACATGGGCCCGAATCCTTACAGCCTCAACCTCAAGTCAAGTCCGAAAGCCCGAACAGTGACTCCACTGGCATGTGATGGAGGTGCCGAGCGCTTCTCCCCCAGGAGCGAGTGACAGGAGGTGGGATGGTGCTTAGGTGTTTGGATTGTTTTTCTTCGTGGAATTCAAGGGGGGATGTTCGAGTTCCAGTGGCTTCAGCATATCGGAATACCGAGCAGCCCCTGCTTCTTGCAAAGGCTCGCTCCAGTTGCACGAGGGTGTTCCTTCGCGGAGTGTTGAATTTATGTAGCCTTCGATTTTAAGCGCAGGGTCCAGCACATGCAAGGAACACTTCTCGATGTCTTGCTGACATGGTTGTGGCGGAATTACTAGCATTGGTTTGTATTTTTGTGTGTGTGAATCCTTTGGGACCTGTTATATGCAGTAGATTTTTTATGAGTCAAGAACAAGAGCCCAACACATGCGTGGGGAGAGAGGCCATGCCATCATCAGCATCGCCAACCGCACCACCGTGATCCTGGAGGACTTGTAGCTCGTTTACTTGTAACAGCCAAGACGGAGCCGCATAGCTGCGACAACGCCTTGCAGTCGAGTCACCTGAAAAAACCCAGGAAGTTTCCCCCGACATCCGAAAACCCTAAACCCTAAATATCCCCCACCAAGCGACGCAACCTCGACGAAGTCAGGTTGACAGAAGCATCCGGCAAGACAGAGACCAAAGGTTCTAACGTTCCCGCCTCTGGAGTTGACCATGTGGGTTAAGGGTTTAGGTTGAGGGATTACTATGCCTGAACATTTAGAACATCGTGCCTTATGGTTGCGCATTGTTAATTATATGTCACGGCTTTTATTAAACGGATGGGCGAACAGTTCCGAGCAGCCCCATGCAAGTAGCATCCAACACCATGCCCATGCAAGCAGCATCCAGCAGCATCATCCAGAACCACCATCCCCTTGCAAGCATCATGCAGCACCATACAGCAGCATGCGTCCAAGACAACGCCAACATGATGACTGACTGACTAGGAAAAGTACATCCTGAAACAATGCGTTAAACAAAGAAGAACGTTAAACAAAGAACGTGACTGCCCCCCACCCTCAGACCCTCCTCCCCCCCAAAGGCATCATCACCACTCCAAAGCAGGACACGCCGGTCACACGCCAGGCGTCGTCACCCATAATTACAAACCCAGAGACTACACCTGTAAACCTTGAACTGTAAACCATGAACCCGCTGCAAGGACCCGCACACCACTGCGGCCGATGACTATTTACGCCGGGGCATCCTAGGGTGACACTTCGATATGGCTGGTGCTTCGGGAGGAAGGTGTTGGCTTATAAACAGATCGCAATGGGTCTTCTTCTTGAGGTTTGTTGCAGGGGCTTTTGAAACACGGGTCGCCCAGAAAACACCCATGACAACGGGGGCCTCTATAAGAATGACCTTGTTATGGTTCGATATCGCTTTGATTGCGTTCTGTGTTGGCTCTGGATTCTAGAGTAATTCGCAAGCGCCAAGCCCTGCCCACATTGAACTGCAAGTAGATATCGTTGCGATCCCATTAAAGTACACCTGGTAATGCCTCTGCATTTAACAACCTTCACGCCAACCAAAGCTGAGGTCCCACCTCGACTGAACTTCATACCCCGGTTCCGACAGAAGGATCAGGCAATAACCCCATTACCGGCCTAACACTAAAGCCACCGTCTTGAACCTTGAACCTCAAACCCTAAACATTAAATTCCGAGCCCACCAAGAAACGCTAACCCCATGGAGCCCCTAGAACCTTAAACTGCAGATGCAAAGATGACTATCGTTGCCTCAGGTCTGAACAAGTCCAAGGAAAGGCGATACCACTTCGATCAGGCGCAGCGCTCTCCCTTTTGGGTGCAGCGCGTTCATTGCCGGCTTAAGATTTTGGGCAGCTTTGGGGCTGCATCGGGCTTACAGAGCTGATAAGGGTTGAGTTCTCTGTACAACTGTCGCTGCGGTTTGCTTGCAGATATCGCATTACGGGCATTGCTGGTGCAAAGCTTTGCTCTGATGAGTGTTTTCACATCTCAAAGGCCCATCGACCGACATCTTACAGCATATTTTGCTTATAAAGCCACTCAGTAGGAGCTGTTCGGGGAGTGGGGCTACAGACACCAATACAATATATCTATATATGCATATATCTGTGTATATTCAGAAAGCACCGCCGACGTCCTTGCCCGACGGGCTGAACTGCCCAACCCCCACTCATTCTGTGTATCGACATTGAAGCTAAATACTCGAAAGGGTATCAGCCCTAATGGAAAAGCATTGTCTGCGCTATACTCAGACTCTCAATGATTGAGACGATATTCTGAGCGTGCTCTACATTAAGATGCAGGATGAAAGGCTCAATGATGCTTGCCCCTCGGTCTAGTATCGAACTTAAAACGTAGACACGAGCTAACATGTGAGAGGAGTTCGCAATGGTTTCCAACCGCAGATCATTACAACCCCAGTCCTTCCAATGCACTCGACAGATTTAAGTCGCACCCTGCTCGTCCAAGACCTACGTTTATTTATACACATACTCACATATGTATTTGAAGGCTCAACAACAGGATTGGGACACCTAACTGACCTAACTCCAGTCGAACCGAAGATCTTCGCCAACCCTTCTAAAGGAGAACTGTCCTGACTCGAAGAAGCTGATCGTACTGCAAGCTGGGCCAACCCTGCCCGGCAGTAGAAGCCAGAATCCGACGTCCGACAGTTCCGCGCCCCAACTCTGCCCAGGCTTGCGACGAGACCGCCCAGAACCTTGAGGCCTCGTCACGCCTTTGTCAAGGAGGTATGGAAAGTAGTCGTACTACTACATACCCGTACCCCTTGTCACTCCGGAGTTGATTAGAACAAGTGCGCTGCAGCAGTTGGAGTACCAAAAACAGCAAGACATCAGGTGAACCCAAAAAAAGAAGTACTAGCATTATAGATACCCAGATACGAACCAGCAGCGAGAATAGTGACCACAGGTGTGAGTAGCAGTTGCGGTACAAAAGACAGCAACAAGCATGAGTACCCTCACTGGCCCAAAGACCACGGCTTAACCCTTGCAAAATTAGTCGCGCACTACCCACATGAGGGTTTCCGAATCTTTCGGGACCCTATAGAATACACAACCTGCCGGATCTTGAACATAAGATCAGACCGTCGAGCTTTCTTGGAAGTCTGAAGTAGAGGGTCTTGGACAGAGGAACCCCGGGCCCTGAACCAAAAGCTTCAAAGGACACACTACTTCAACCTTAAATATCTCTAAACTCCAAGAGACCTCAACGGTAAACCTCTAAACCTTACTTTGCACACCCTCAATCCATAAGTATGCCCTGAACCAAGATGCCTATAGCCTAAACATGTCATAAGCCCTCGACTTTCCATACATGTCTTTAGAGCAGCCCAAAAAACCTTCGGTGGCAGGTCTACGAGCGGACGACTCGCTTTTTGATTCCCAGTGCAGCGGCCCCGAGCTTCGAGGGGTGGGTGGGTGGGTTATTGATGAAGGGCCTGTGGGATCCATAAGCAGGGTTTGGGAAAACTTGGTGGAGTTGGGATCTACGCCGTTTTTAGGGCTTTCTGCCATCAAATTGGGTTTAGAGGTTGAGCTCTTTGCCAAAGGCGATGACACCTGAGTGCAAGGCAAGAGTCCTCCGCGTTCAGGAGGAATGACAGTCTCAGGGGTCAGGAGAACCCTAAACCCTAAACCCTAAAATTATGGTGAGGGCCATAGCATGACGCCTAAGCGTATTCCCTTGTACATCCTGTTGCATAAGCAGTACATGTACTACATGGGCATTGGAAGAGTATCTCTTTCAGGGTTCCCCTGGTCGTGACGGGAGCGTTTCTGGATATTGGTGTCTTGAGTTCCGGGTTTGGGATTGGGGGCTTGGGTGTAGGGCGTCTGCTGGTGTTGCCCAAGGGTTTGCATGATGCAGTTATGAAGTAATCTGAGTATCACGTCTGGACTAGTTTGTGTTTACTATTGCAAGTACCCCTGGCACTCCAAAGCCGGCAGTGATCGCTAGGAGGTGAAACATGGCTTCAGATGTTTCCCTGTTCTTTGTCTTCAGTGGGTTATGACTATGATCGTCCAGCAGTCTAGCGTTTACGGTAGACCCGACATCGTCATTGCTACGCCTAGAATTGCTTGGTGGACTGGGTTTTTAGGAGGGTCGGGGTTTAGGCTTCGGGCCTACGGTTCAAGGTGCCTTAGGGCTGTAGTGTGAGCTGCTGATGGGGGTCGATCAGGTGAAAGCTGAACCTCTAAAGATTTCTGGGAATTGGAGTTTGGACGAGTGCAGATGGGTTTCGTTGAAGATCAGAGATCGGGTGTTACAAGCTTTCAATATCGTGTCTACGGAGTTGTGGCATGACAGTGCGTTATTGGAGATATGTACATACACGCACTCACATGTGTGTGTGTGTATATACTGTATCGAAAAGCAGCTTCAAAGGGAACCCCTAAGATCTGAAGCAGTTTCAGTTGCCAAATAAGGCAAGCCCTAAACGTAGCCCCATAACCTTCAAGCCCTCAAGTCCAGACCCATAAACTGCCAAATCCAAAAAGCCTGCACAGAGCCTGTGATACTTTTTTGCTGATATCCTGAACCCTAAACCCTCAAGTGCTGAAGCCCTAGACCTGCACCACCCTGCGCCCCGTATTTCAACCTGCAGCTTTGAGGTCATACAGGGATTCAACGCCACTGTCTTCGCTTATGGCGCGACCAGCGCGGGAAAGACACACACGATGCTGGGCCGCGCGGTTGTGATTGGATCCGTTCGGACTTAATGGTCCGAGGCGTTTGATTTGGGGTCTTCAGGTTTACAGCAAACAGACTTAAGGGTCCGGAGGGTTTCTCAAGGCATTTGTAGATTTGTATGCAGATTCATTAAAGAGTTGCCTCTGCAGCGAGTTAGTTTGTTGAATTCATTAAATATATGTGTGCATACGTAGGAGCCAGAACAAACATTTGGAGCTTTATTGATTCACCAGGCATCCATGTATACACAAAGCGCCCCGAGAAATTATTGCGCAACCTCAAACTCCGCAAGGAAGACCACTTTTGCCGGTGCAGAGTCCCTGAAACGACAGCTTATGTATAATGAGGATTCCTGACTTCACGGAACAGGATATGTCAGCGACTACACGGCAAGAGCTCTCAAAAATGCAAGCCAATGAGTCGAGATCGTCGAAAAACCCTCAAGTTATCAGTCGTGCCGAATCAGGCATTGGCCATTGTCGGACCTGCTTCGGGTCGGATGAAAAATCAAGTCTCGCGTCGTCGTCTTTGGAGTGCAGGTTATCCAGGTGAGCCTGGCATCATGCTGCTGACGCTGCGTGATCTCTTCAGCGAGGCTTCGACCGGACGAAACCCTGCCTCATCGTGTTCTGTCATTCTGATCAGATCATCCACATGGTTAATCTCCCATTTGTCTGTGTCAGTATGTGATTGGCACTTTAGACCATTTCGGAACTGTCACCATCTCGGTTGCACCAGCCAGTAAACCCAAGAGTGTTTCATCACCGCTAGCTGTGCAGGGCCTTCAACAGCGGTTTGCAGCCAGTTGTTTCCTGGTTGTTGCAAGTGCGGCCCATCTGCAAGACGATCCCGTGTGGGCAGAGCGATTTCATTGGGCCCCCTTAGATCCTCTGGGTCCTAGGCTAAACTACCAACTTCTCAGCCCACGTCCTGCCAGATTTCCTTTGCAGGTGGCTAACCAGAAGGACAACAACCACTTCGAGTTCCTGGGATGAGATTTAAAGTTGCACGGTTCCAAGGTTCAGAGTTAAGGGCCTGGGGTCGAATCTTTAGGGGGCTTTGGAGCAAAGGGCTCGGAGGAAAGCGGGGAAGGGCTCCTCGTTCAGGCATCACCTGTGCATCCAGCAGCTTCTGTAATATCAATACTGGTATTTACCTGGTTCAGTCAGAAATGCTGGTCGAGATCACACCCAATGAGGCTGGCTTGAGAGTCCAGGAAGGGTAGCCGAGCTGCTGAGGATCAAGTGCTCTTTCTTGGAGGTCTACAATGAAAATGCTTCCTGGCTGACATCGGTAGAAGCAACTGATTTTCTGCGATGCTGTCCCATCAGCTAGGTCGTACCTGCTTCGGGCTTCAGTTGGGGGGGAGTGGGTTGTTGTTGCGATGAGGTTTAGTAGCACGATTGTGAGTGTTAGAACTGATAGAGGTGCCGGATTTCAAGGTTTCTAGTTCAATCGAGTGTGAGGTGCTTTGTTCTGAGTTTGCATTTGTGGATTTGCAGGCTTGATATACCGTTTTTGAGCGTGGGCTTCATGTGTTGCTCGCTTTGGTATTTGGGGGTTTGGGTCTGCAGAGTCTTTTCCGCGGAGTTCCGATGTTTCGACGCGCACGGGGGCAATCGGTTTGGGATGAACACGTAGGCTTAAGTTGTATGGAACATTGGGGCAGATGTATTTTGAGTGGGGCTTAGGGTGGGGTGTGGTGCAACTGCTTGAGGACTGCAGTGGAAGTTTCTTGCTGGCTATTCGGACCTCTCAAGTATCGATCTTGGTGTTTTGATTTCTGGGAGATCTCTTGTTGGGCTCTCCTGTTGCCTCCCGGCATATCCCGGCCACAGACTTTCAGTGCAGGATGGGGATAGAGTCACACATGGTAATTAGGCTTAAGCCCTCAACTCTAAAGCCTAGACCAAAGCGAACTGAGCCCTAACAACTCACCACACCGCCGCAAACCCAGATACCTCGGTGTATCCTCAGAGGTCAGGGACCTCTTGCGCCCTGATGGAGATTTCCTGGACATCCGAGAGGACACGAGATTCCGATCAGACGTCGGAGATTCCGGTGCTGAGAGCTTGTATCAATCACAGGTCTTTCAAGATTTGGCCATCTTGATCGCGGTGTGTTATAATGTTGTGTCGGAGTCGGTCTAAGGTTACGTGTGTTTTCCAGAGCACCAACCTCAAACAGCACTTAAGCCAACCGTGGTAAAGCCGCTTCCGCGAGCTCAGCTCTAAATATCAAGTCCAGACCTTACAAGCCTCACTTAGTGACTTCGTGTTCAAGGTCTGGAGTTGAGGGTTTCGTGGATAAATCTTAAACAAAATCCTTAAGTTCGACCGGCATCACTACGCTTTATAGAAAGAGCACCTGAGGCCCTAAGGATCGGTACTTTGTTCCTAGAGGAGTTCGTAGATACCGGTAGGTACTTTGGAGTCCTTGGGAGTTATAGTATGTATTATGCGGCCCATAGTGGAACCTTGAGCCGGTGCACGCGAGACCCATCACCCAGACCCCCCAAAATAGCAAAAAACACAAAGCCCGAAGCGCCTTGGGACTGCTCAGAAGCGCCTTGGGACTGCTCAGTCTTCGAAAAGCAACGCAAGCTTTGGACTTTCAGGGTCTCCAACAGAGGCTTCAGGCTTCAGGGCTTAAGCCCTACCCGGGCCCTTCCAGGTCACGCTCTAACTTAAGCGAAATATATGCTGAAAAGACTGGTGTTATCATGCTGGTCATGTTATAGGGTCAGGAGAGCCGAAAGAAGTACCGTTTTGTCTGCCAGCACCCCTGCATTGGAGGATCCCGTCAAAGGCATGTGCGTGGCAGGCCTGTTGGCTGTCGTGGATCCAGGATTAAGGGCCTAGGGGCCTGGAGGTTCTTCTCAGCACATGGTCTCAGATTTAGGTAAGGTTCCGGCCCGCTACAAGCCTTCGTATTCTTGCCTCAACTCCCATCCGAAGAAGAAACAAACAAAGTGGGAGCGATTTGGGCCGGTAGGGGCTCTGGACAGACTGGCCGTACCTCCTCTAGCAGTAGTTCATTGTAACCCCCAAAATGCCAAACAACATTTTGGTGGATGTGTGGCCTGGTTGCCAGACATGTCTAGAGTGGAGTGGGTGAGCGGATTGATTTGAGCTTTTGGTCTCGCTGGTCCCTTACGAGCCACACTGACCATGCCGCAGGCATCAGCGAGGTGGGTGGACTCGAGAGCGCAGAGGAGCGACTCTTAAAAACTCGAAATCTTGCAAAGGCTAGTAGACGAAAAGGCATAGCTCTGACACCAGAAGCCTTATTGCCTACTTTACCTTGCATGTCAATTCCGCAGGGCTGACGCCCTCCCCAAAGTGTAAGCACCAAATGACCCAGTGTAGGCCCCAGAACCTACAGACCCCGCAGAATACGCGTTGTTTATCTGCATCTGAAGCTACTATCTTCCAGGAACCCGCTATATCTACGGCAAGGCATATGCTCAAGAGCTGCGATGGACTATTGGTTTGGAGCTTGTAGGAGTTCGCACCTAAGTTGTGCCCCTCATTTGAAAGGAGCCTGGCAGGCACTGCCCGTACTGTAGTGGCCGGTTGCAAAGTCAGAGGAACGAACACCATTTTGGGGCTCTGAATCGTCAGACATCATAGACTGCACAGCAACTTGGCGCCCAAGCTGCAGCTTTCAACTGCATAATCGAAAGCAGGCCCGATGCTTACGGTTGCTTTGAGTCACATCACTGAGTAAACCAACTCGGGTGTCAAATCCCCAAGCTGTCGTTGGATAAGGGGCCGCGAATGGCGCAAGGTCTCAAATGTGCACTCGCCAGGGGCTACCAGCATAAGCCCTACAATCCCGAAATCCTGAAGCCTTGCTTATAGCACCACCTTCAAAATCAGGAGATCATGGCGCTGCTTCATCAAGGCAACAAGAACCGCACGACAGAGTCTACTGGCGCTAATGCCTCTCAACTGCATGGAGCATGTAGATTTTAAGGGCTTAGGGCCCAAAGGAGTTCCGATTTGCAGGGTCAAATGGTCTATAATCATACGTATATATATATATATATATATACACACATATCACATGTGTATTCATATGCACATGCTGGTGCTTACATATGTACATAGAAAGGTATCTGGATAGATAGTTGGATAGATGCATAGATAGCTTCGGATTTGAGAGTCTTTTGTGGCTTGTTGGCCAGGCTTGGCAATGTACTTGTGGGAGAGCTTCGTGCCAATCATGCAGGCCCCTGTGGGAAGCCCCAACAGCAGCCCGTCTCAAAGCAAGCCGACCTCATAAACAAGGTTCAGACCCGAGCTGCATTCAGTTCAAGTTCGCCAGGTTCCCCATGTCAAACCCCTTCATACCCCAAAACACTCCAAGTAGCGCTCAACAGCAAGCCTACTAGAAGAAAACCGAGACTTAAACCACAGAACTTAGCGCCTCTGCTTGGATCTCCAAGGTCACCAGCTCCAGAAGTCACGCTGTGCTGCAGGTCTTGGCAAGTACGGGACTTGCATTGATGGCTTTTGGTGGGTGCACCATAAGCTTTTTCAGATGCCCCCCCAAAAACGTAGCCTTTGGATCCAAGTCAGGCTATGTCATTATGCACGTTAAGCTTGAGTTCAAAGCCAGACGAAGCCAACCTGGGCCTTGGGCTCTGCAGGCTCTGAGAGTGCCAGTGGAGACAGCCAGACCCTGACGGCTCCCCACGAAAGTCTTTCGAGTTTGAGCGCAGTGCTGAGTACATTTTTCATCTAACTCGGCAGGTCCTCTGCGAACTGAATTCAACCTTAAGCGAAGCGCCCACGCCCGCTTGCGCTGCCGTGTTGGACATGTGAAGTGCCACAGAGAGTTACGAGGATTTCCGATCCTGGATTTGGGATTGATGGCTTTGGAGTTTGGCCGCTGGCGGTGTGGCTCTTGCTGCTTAGTGAGTTTGGATCTGCGTTTGGTAAAAAGGCTTGAGGTTTTCTATGGGCAACAGACATAGACATGTGCGACTCATTTTGGTCGTGGCCCGAGCTTGGCCTGGAGAGGTCATGGTGCATCAGCGAGATCGCACCGCAGACATCGTGGCTCATGCTTCTTGTCAGCGGAGTGCAGGCTGAGGGTATCAACGGAGAAACCTGACCCCTCAAACCCGTACATCCCTGGAGTGTATAACCGTAAACTTCGCTACACACTACTGTATCAATTCCCATATCTGGACTCTAAAATCTACGCCGTGAAGCCTAAACGAATCCCCCCAAACCCTTTTGCCTACACCATAATATCTAGTTCCCCAACACCTAGCAGCCTACTTGTTGCCAACCTATAGAATACAAGCCTTAAAACCAACAACACGAGCTGAACCTCAAACCCAACCACAGCAGTCTTGCCTAAAACCATCATCTCTAGCCGTGAACCGTCCAGCCTGCATGCCCGGAACTCTGAGAGCCTAACTCCTAAATGCCTCAACCCTAACCATCGAATACATCATAATTTATATTTCCTAAATCCCAAGCCTTCAGCTCAGGTTAACTTGGGGAAGCTCTCCATGATCGACCTTGCAGGCTCCTGCTTTACTGCAAGGGACCGTGGCTTTGGTTATCTCTAAGGTGTGGGGATTTAAGGGAAAACTGAGGCTTTGGGGTTTAGGACTTTATGGTTTTAGGGGTTCGAAGGTTAGGGATGGTAGAGTCTGGAGTTGGGATGTCGAGTCTAGTGTTTCGGGTGGATCTTCAAACAGGATTGTTCATCCTCATGCGCGAGAGGCAGCTCAAAGGCATTCCTATAGCGACGGAAGTCCTCAATCCATGTTCCAAGCTTTCGGAGATTCAGGGGCGTTCCGTTGCCCGGTCACGGTTTCTGGATACTGATCATGACAACGGTCTCAGCGGTACCTTAAAGAGAGCTCCGAGTTCCTATGTGTCCCCGTGGAGGAGGAGCTTCTTTTGTTTTTGCTAGTTCCCCCTATAGGTATATACCTTAATCTAGCTAGTATATGCCCATTATATAGCCCATTATAGGGTAGGGGGCCCGGGTCTTGGGGTTCCGAGTTTCGGGCTTCAACTCTCTGGCCTGATTGGAGATCAGGATCTGAGCGGGCATCGCAGACCAACAACAAAGGCCGGCCGCAACTTACTTCTGCTTTACATGTGTGTGTGTGTGTGCGTGTGTACAAGCCCCATAATTGATCTTCATGTTGGGGCCGTTGAGGGTGCGGAGGGCGCTAAGTACTGTCCTGCTAGCCATGCAAAGGGCTGTGCTCAGCTCCCTAAGTTCCTGAAGTCTTCAATCCCAGAGCCATAGGCCATATGCCATATGCCCTGAGTAATTAATCACATTTGTCGATGTCTATTTCAGGTTTCTATGGGTTTCCACATCCCACACACACACACACGCACACACACACACACACACAAACACACACACACACACACACACACACACACACACCCACACGCACAGACACAGACACACACACACACACACACTCACACTCACACACACACTCACACTCACACACACACACACACACACACACACACACACGCGCGCACACGCGCACTCACACACACGCAATATCAGTATGTATGTATGTATGTATGCATGTGTATATATATATATATATATATGTATGTATATGTATGTATATATTTATATATGTATATATGTATGTATGTATGTTTGTATGTATGTATGTAACTATGTATGTAATCAGGGCTCAAATCGCCTGCATAGGTCAGGAACAATTGTTGCCCCAGTGCCTGCCGGCACGTAGAATCGATTCCTCTGCCATCCCCGAACTGGCACCGCCAAGAGCGTGCGAAGCGCTCACGAGCTCGAGCTCGAGTACGTCAGGCGAAAGCACACTTTCGTCAACCACGGCCCAAGGACCTACTTCTGCTCTACCTGCACCACTCCGGCGGCAGTGGAAGGGGAATGGGCAAGACATGGAAGCAAAGGCAAGGGTATGGAAAAGACGACAGCCATGGACGAGACTCATGGGCTGGGGATGGATATGGGCAGCAGCCCTATATATCCAAGGAAAGCTTGTGGAAGGGAGCCTACTCTCCACGGGCACCCTGGCGCAGGAACGATCCGTCGAGGACACCAAGCTTCCCCAGTTATACACAGCTGACGCCCAAAGAAGCACCGAGCTCTTCGGCAGCAGATACTTCCTTTACGCCCGACTCGACCGTTTCGGAGATGCAACGCTCGCTCACAGCAGCGAAGAAAGCGGAGCAAAAGGTCCGCACCCTGATGGCCCTCAGGGAAAAGCAGGCTGGCCAATGGGATGCGTACAAAGAAAAACTGGAGAGAACGTTTGTGCAAGAGCACAAGAAGTACCTTGCCGAAAAGGAGAAGCTTCAGCGGGACCTGGACTCTGCAATTCAACAACAAGAGACAGCCAGGAAAGCGGTCAGATGTGTCTACAGTGGAGAGCCTGTGAGGCCTTCGCAGACCGTCCTGCAGGAAAGAGCCTCAGCCTCCGAATGGGAAGAGATGAGGAGCACTTGGGAAAAGGCACAAGAGACAGACATGGATGGAGTCCTGCAACGTGCGATGCAGGACATTCAAGCCGAGCCTTTACATCCCGGCCGTCGAGACGTCGACATGGATGGAGTCCCATCAAGGAAGCTGCGACCGGAGTTCTTGCAAAGCTTGCTGATGGACCCTGGGATCCAGGCTGCCTTCTGGGCACAGGCCTCTTTCCAAGGGATGCCACCGGGAGTTCCTGGTATGCCGGACACCATGGTTACCGAGCGGGCGATCCCTACCTTTGGAGTTCATGCATCAGAGGGAGAGTGTCCCCTGCCTACGGCCAACAGTGGGGACAAGGCCACTGTGGAGCAGGACACAAGCAGGATTCTGATCTCGCAAGCCGAAGCACGATCACCAACGAGAGTGGAGGTGGCGCCTGGCTCTCACCCAGGTCAGCGAGATCCCAGCCAACTACGAGTTCCAGCGTCAGAGGCACCTCCCAGGCAGGACGTGAAGTCTGCCACCAAGACGACGCCACAGCGCAACATGCAGCACAAGGGCTTGAGCGACAAGCTAGAGGAGAAGCGACAAAAAGAGAGACTAGGCAATGCGATGCATCCATTTGGGATTCCGAGCTTGACAACAGCCAAGCCAGAAGGGGCCCCCACAGGCTCCTTCGATCTTTCACAAGAAGAGGATGCAGAAGAACTGAACAAGGCCGATCACTCTCCAGGGCTTGGCAATCTGGAGTGACAATGACGTCGGTGCGCACTTCTGCGAAGAAGTGTCATAACGGTGACTACAGGCTTGGAGTGCGATTTTCAGCATCGATTTCCCGGGGGAAATCATGTCTGCTTCGCTACACTCTAGGTCAATGTTGCCATCTTTATGACACGGAAACTGCATTAGTGAGTCACCGTGGGTCTCACACCATCCTGTACATAGAGTCCTCTTTTCCATTTGGAGAGTTGCGATCTCTTTTGCAGGTTGTGCACCACCGGCCTTGTCTGGGTTTCCTCGCACCAGTCATCCTCGGCTACCTTGGATGCTCCTTGGGTTATGGAGTGTCTTTGGGTAAGCCCCCGCCATGCCACATGGACTTTTCTGCCTGGTCTTCTACTTCAGTGGGATGTGAAGCATTTGGAGACTTTTCTCCACAAGTTCGAGCGCTTAAGGAACACATCGGTAGCTCTGGGGTGTTCGCCGAACAAGCTTCCCGCTTCCATGAAATCCCACATGGACTTTTGTCTCTCTCCTCCGTTGAGACCATCTGCCATGGTTCCTCCCTTTCTGGGATTTTTCAAGCAATACTTTCTAGTATTGCATGTCTTCTCCTGCCGATTGCAAGGTCGTTTTGTGGCGTGACCTTCCTGGCGATTCTTCGACTCTACTTCCACGTACTCACCAGTATCTTCAGAAAGAATGGAAGAACTGGTTGCATCGATCGGCTTGGACCAGTTGGTCCTCTCATCCGTTGTCTTGGTGGAGCTGCCAGGTCGGAAAGGAGTATTTGCCAGAGCAAGCAGCGACACCTCCAGTGTGCAAGAGGTGTCAAAAGCACAAGCTTAGGCAGACTACAAAGGATAGCCTGTTGGCTGTCTGCACTTCTTTTCTATACCTTGCCTGTCCAGGTTTGGGGCGCTCCCAAGCACCTTGAGCTGCTTGTTCCATCATCAGCAGGCTCAGCTCCAGCGACTCGCAATGCAGCAGCACACTGGGAGCCTTGCGACGAAAGGACCTTTGAGGAATGTGAAGGTGCAGGTAATCATGTTGCCGAAACCGCCAGGGTTGCAGACGACACAGTAGTTGGACATGCTCCTTCTGAGCTCGGGACAAGGTTCTTCTCTGTCTTTTGTCCGCAGTACCATACAGAGCTTGTTCCCATTGTTTTGCGTGTCCCTGGTACGACACCTCATGAGGCTCTGCAGGAAGTCAAGGGGGGCCTTTCGTCCCTACGTCTTGAGTATGCCAAAACTCTCTGCCCGACCATACCACAGTTGGATGAGGGTTCAGCGTCAGTCGTCCTTTGTGGTTCATGGCATGAACAGTATGGAGATGCTGTCCTGATCCTTGATTTCCGACCCATGCAAGGCCCTTGTTATGCTAAGCATTTCTTCAAAGAGGGAAGGGAAAGTGAACTGAGAGACGAAATTCTCCGCCAAAACATACCCCCATGTGACATCTACCTGTTTGGTGAACAGGAACCGTTGCCACCAAGAGCGTCATTCAGGAGCGTCAATGGAGGGGTAGTCCAGTTCAGGCCTAGAGGCACTTTACCGATTTGGCATGGGGACTTTGGGAGCAGGTTCCGTTCCTCTGCATTTTGGCATGGCCCTACATTTGAGCCTGCTGACATAAATCCTCCCAATTTCGTTATAGGAGATGCCTCTCATGCACATGAGCACTGGATTGTGCCAGCAGCACATGACCCTGAGCAATTTGTTACAGAAGACCTGCAAGCACAGCCGAGCTCGTTGACGTTTGCGCGTCCCAACAGGGAAGTGTTCCACAATCTAATTGCAGTTCAACGAGCCCCTCCCCCGACAGGCGACAATGCACCAGGGTTCTTCCTTTTCCTTGATGGTCGCCAAGTTGGTCGTTTGCCGACATATGTATGGTTGCACCAACCTGTTGTCTGCATTGGCTATCTTGCCAGATTTGCTGGAATTACCCGTACCCCACAAGGCTATCACTTGTCAGTTGCAAGTGCAGTCCCTGATGTGCAAGAAAACCACATACGAGTTCGCAGTGGAGACACCATCGTCTTTGGTTTCCGCAGTGAGGCTGAGTCTGACCTCAGTGGTTCGGATGAGGAGGATTCTCAGCCTCCGCCTAGTGTTGATACAGATGGCTCGACCCAGCCCCCACATGAAGACGATGCCAGCAATGACACAAGAAGACCCCAACCAGTCCCCTGCCTTCGACGACCGAAGCCGCTCTCCCAGACGCGCACATTTTGCTGGCACGGTTGCGCCAACTGAACCACCACTTGGTTGCAAACACCAGGCAAGTATCTGGTTCAACAGGCGCATTAAGAAAGCAATGTGTGATTTGAGAACTGGAATAGCTTGTCTGAGCCAGGGTCTTCCGATTGCTGCTGTAGGTCACGGAGTTTGGAATCTAATGACTTCCACTTTCGACATAAGAGAAAACATGAATCAATGCCAACGATCTCCGTACCCTGCGCTTGAGCAGGTTTTGCACCATCAGGACGGAAGGGGTCAGGACAACCTTGAGTTTCCGGATGCACAGCCCGGTGTGCACGAGCTTACGATTCCACGGCTTCATGTTGATGCCCCAGAGCCCGATTTTGACCCATTTGAGGAAGGGGGTGAAAGTGAGTCTGGCGCTTTGCTAGCTCACTTTATTCTCCTAACCCCTGATTGCCTTCCTGAACACGTCACCGTTGCTCTTGATCACAGTGTAAATGAGCAGGAAGTGCTTGACCTTGTCAGCAATGAGATTGATGAACAAAGGTCTCTCCATTATCCGTCCCTCCACATTGTGACACCACAACCGGATAGACAGTGGGGGACACTGATTGCGCTCCCGCCGTGGGCAGAAGACATTGCCATTGCATGCCTCGACATGAGGAGCATTGATGGTCGCCTCTTTGCCGCCGAGATTCCCAGGAATGCAACAGCTGACCAACTCTGCAGACTTGCCGGGTTGGACGATTCAGGGGTCATTAGTGTTTTCGCCTTTGGTGGACTGACGCCTCTAAGACCAGAAGAGGCCATTGACTTCGAACAGTGCGGAGTCATCGTTTACGCCCGACAAAATGCACCTGCTCCGAGACTCAACACGCTGGCCTGGATGCTTGACCGGTTGCATACTTGGGATACCGATCCGGAACTTCCATACGGACCGATTGGCCGTCATCACTGTTGTGTCACGGGTAGCCATCGGCTTGTCACACACGACCCTCACCAGCAGAGGGACCTGACGGCTGCTATCGCCGGTGCGCTCCAATTTCAGGAGGACATGGTACAGATAGTTGCAGCTGCCCCTTCAGTCACTGATGCTACAGTGAAGGGCCATCACTGTCTGAATGTCCATGCTGTAATCCCACGAGAAGCTTGGCCACAAGGGGATGCTCCTACCGTTGGCCTGTTAGATTGCAGACCGTTGCTCCAAGGATGGTCAGTGATTGAAGCCCCTAATGGTAAGACCTCATACTCAAACCTCGTCACTGTACTGGATACCTTCGCGCCTGAAGGTTGGATTTCGCAGATTGACCCTGTTGGTCTAGACGATAATGGGGAGTTTGAGGTTCATGCAGGCCAAGTCTTTGTAGCATCTTATGCACCTGTCTCGGATGACGATTGGGAGCCATCTGATTTTATAGCTGGACAACGGCAGCCCTGTGGACAGCCGGGAGATGCATCAGATAGGGCCGAAACGGGGAACAGGACGATTCACGCTTTGAACACAGAATCGCGGTCCCGAAGTAGATCGCCACCCGGGATGGCACCCCGCAATGCTTCCGAGCACACACCGATACAGCCTGCAATTCTGTCAAACCCTGGTCTAAGCCCACTCCGGGCTGGTGACCAACAGGGTTCCTTTGGCGTACTAGCTTGCAGTAGAGTAGTCAAGCTTTCCAGCAGTTCTTGCAAGGGTCGTTTGCCCTTCTCCTGTTGGTCAGCCCCTGTCCTCCTGAGCGACACTTCGCCTTTAAGATGCGATAGCAGAGATGCTGTTTTTAGGTGTAGTGATTCTCCCGTTGTTCAAGCTCCGTGCAGTCGTTTTGCTGCGATTGCGTGCAACATTGCAACGCAAGCACAAGGACGCACACCTGAGCAATGGCACGAGAGTGACTCGCACAACCCATTGCATGATGACATTATCCCCTGGAGATACACAGCGCCCCCAATGACAGGTCGGGCCTTTGTTGCAACAACTGAGCCTGCTGAGGGTGCTGAAAACCGTAGTGAAGACATCCACTCACTAGTCTTTTACATAGCGGTGCCTGATTACCAGCTTGAAAGGACTGATGTAGAGCTTCCTCTGCCAGCCATTCCAGCAGATGTACTTGCAGCCGTCAGGAGTGCCAGGCAGCAAGACATGCGCCGCCGGTTTCCGATTCTTACTGTCGCGCGTCCCCAAACCGTAGCTGGAGTAGGTGTACTGCTGGCTGACCCAATGTGGGATAATGCTGCCCCGACTGTTTGCATTGATACTGTTGCCATTGATGGCAGACTTTTTGCCAGCAGGGGCCGCATTTGTGTTGATAGAATTGCACTACTCATCATTGCTGACCTGCCTCTGCAATCGGAAGTCGACATCTACGTCGGTGATTCCCGAGAACCTTTCCCAGAGGGTCTGAGTCGGGACCTGGAACATGGAGATGTCATTGCGTTTGTGCCGCGGCACTGTCCTCCTCCATGTAGGGGGTCACTCAGAGATAGATTGCAGGACGCGGAACAGTGGTTTGCACCTTCCTATCAGCCTCCTACAGTGCAGGCAGACACATATGGTCTTGTGCATGCCAGCCAGTGCATTCTCCATTCGGTCGGCAACGAGTCTCCTATGCAGTACCGCCGGGGAGTCGCAGCCTGCATCGGCACTGACGCGGCGAGACTGCGTCTGTTCCCAGCCAGGCCAGCCATTACAGATGCAGCCATCCTCGGCCATCCAGTCCTCACTGTGGTTGGAGTTGCGGAATTGGGCGGGGAGTTCACCCGTTCTTCTTTCTGCGTCTTGTTGGATGCCCGACCTCTTGGTCAGGCTTGGCATGAACTCTATGTACACACCGGCCGTCTTGAGTGCAAAGCCTTCTGCAGGGACCTCGACAGGCACGCCCCTGCGGGATGGCGCACAATCCTAGCAGGCATCCCTAGCCATCTTGATAGTGTCGCGGTTTCCCCTGGTTGCACCCTCGTAGCTGAATACATTCCTGCCAGTCACCATCGTAGCATGCAGCTTGTTGCTACACCAGGACCCATCTCTCAAATGCCGTCAGGCACAGATCCTGGATCTGGGGAGATAGAGCCAGCAAACGGGGCAACTGCAACAAATGCCCATGGTGAATTGCCCACTGAGGAGTATGAGGCCAGCCGGCTTCCCCCGTCACAGTCAGAGGCAACTGAGACGGCAGCCACTGTGCAAACGGCCAGTGCCACCAGCGGCTTCATGAGTTGCATTTTCCTGATCTGTGGGCAAAATTACTGCCCAGAGGTTGTTGAGGTAAGGTTGCAGGTTGGCACAAGCGTCCAAGACGCCCTGAACGCTGTTAATGCTGCCAGATCTCCTGATCTTCGCTGCTACTTGCCAGGACTCTACGCGGTGCATCCACGGTCGCTCGCGGGCATCGCTGTGTTGGTTGCGGCACCACTTTGGCCGGTTCCAGGGGCATTAGTTGTGTTAGATAGTACAAGAGTGAATGGTCAGGTTTGTGTCCAGCATTTACCGGGCATCCTGCGAGGCGCGGGTGTCTTTACAGCAGCAGACATCCCTTCAACCCACACAGACCTCTATGTTCAGGATGTCCCGTGGCCCGTCCCCCCTGACATGCAATTCGCAGCCAATCATGGAGATGCTGTTCTCCTTGTTCCCAGAGATAATCCACATTTTGCCACCACTGATATTGCCTCAATGCTGCAAGACGCCAACAGCTGGAATACCCAGTGGACACCAGCTGTGCAATTCGCTGAGCGGGCTTGGATCATTGCACAGGAGAACACCTTTCTCCACCAGATTCCTGCAGGACGTAGAGCTTCAGTCAGACAAGATGTTGCCGAAGTTTTGCATGTCCCAGCACACACCATCAGGCTCTTTGCGACTGATCCTCCCATTGTCAATTATGCTGACAGGGGACTTCCAACACAACATGTCCTTGCCGTGACAGAATCGGATAGGGCCAGGGGTTCTGCCAACAGACCCTTTGCCTGCATTGTTGATTGTCGTCCCCTCCTCCTGCGACTTCATGCTTTCTACTCCGAAGAGCCCGTGCTTTCTCTGCAACGCCTACAGCACCTCTTGCAGCGGTGTCCTGTTGGATTTGTAGCTTGCTACCTCGGAGACGACGGCATATTTCGACCGGTCCAGCATGACCTTTCCTTCACTGACCGTGGAGTCCTCACTTTAGCCTTTCTCCCTGGGGCAGCCTTAATCTCGGACCCGAGTGGACAGAACGACTCCCAGGCCCCTTCCGGGGACGGATCCACAAGCTCACGACAACACTCTGACTCAGAGCCTACCGAGACGGTGTCACAAGAAGGCACCAGTGCTTCTGCTGCCGGGTCTACAGGATACGATGCAGGTACGGGTGGTTCGCGCCGCAGAAGACAAACTACCGAACCGCATACAAGAGCCAGATTGATTGGTACGCTCGGAGGAGCAGCTGTATCACTGTGCCTCCTACTTGCGGTGTCAGGCGTCAGCTTTGCTGCCCTTTCCTGTTGCCTTGTCAGACTCTGCCAGGACACACACAATGCCCGTAGGCCGTCACTCCTACTAGTGTTGCTCGCCTGCGCACTTGTGTCTAGACACACAATTGTTCAGGCTGGGACAGCAGTCGACTTGTGCAAAACTGCTAGAATTGCAACCGCCGTAGATTACGGGTTCGCGATTTCTTCAGACTTGCCCCGGTATACAGTGCCAAGCCTATCAAGACACCATGTGCCTACCCCCTGTCGTATCAGAGCCCCTCGCATTCCTGCAGATGAAGAAACCGATCACAGTATCCCAGGCCCACTGCAGACCTTGCTTGAAGAAAGTAGAGAGGTACAGAAGGACCAGCCCCTCTTTGAAGCCTGGACACTAATTGAAACCCTGCAGGAGCACCTTGCAGCTCAATCGCCCCCCTCTGGAGTCAGGGGACTCCCCACCACCGGTGCCAACCAAGCTGGCTGCCGCCGACCTCATGACAGCATTGTCCGACTCGAGGATCACCTGCCTCAGGGTCACCGCATCGATCTTACTGCAGTTGCTCTCGGGTGTGGCCGCACCCTTGATGAAGTCATCTCCGTTCTCAACGCCAACTGGCAACTTGACCCTCATTTGCCTGCCCATCTTGACCTGCACCCTGCTACCGTTGCAGCATTTGCGGCACATGCGACACCGTCGGGCCACTGGGACCTGCCCTATGGCTATGACATCTTTACTGATGGTTCCTACGATGGGAGCACCAGCAGCTGGGCCTTCGTTGTCATTGCGCGGGGTTGTCGGGGTAACTGGTTTTTGGGTTTTGCTCGAGGCCCTGTTGTTCTAGGAAAAGATGCTAGGAATATTGGGGCCACGTCACACTCAGCTATGAATGGCGAAAGGACTGCTTTGTTTTGGGCCACAGCCTGGGCCATCCAAAAAGCGGGAGCCATTCCCTGCAGGGTGCATACGGACTCCAAAGTTGCACAAGGACAAACAGATGGAGACTTCCAGGTCCGCCATGCTGATGTGTTGGCAGTAGCTTGCAGGGCAATTGCCATGGCAGCTGAGGCTGCGGCACAGCTTCATAGCAGTCACTTCAATCATGTCCGGGCACATGCTGGTAACCCCTACAATGAACTTGCCGACGTCCTTGCAAAACGTCAGGACCTACTAGCTACTGACATGCCAGCTGGTATTGAAAACCTGTCAGAATGGGTAATGACTGGTGACATTCATTGGTTGTGGCTACTCATTGAGGCCACACTGCGTCCGAGTCAATGGCCAACCTTTCAACACGGCCAACTCCTGGATAGTAGTGGCCACTACACTGCTGATTTTAAGAGCCTTGCGAAATGTGTCGTACCGTCTGGACCTTCCCAACGGCATCCCAAGGCCGAGGAATCAACGTTGTGGTTTCAGCCCAAAATTCTCTCGGTCAATGTCCAAACCCTAGCTGAAGATCCCTCGGCCGGGGTCGCTGGCAGAGTCCCCTATATCAGGGAACAGCTCAGACATGTTCAGGCCTGCATGATTGCACTTCAGGAGACGCGGGCAAAGCAGTCCGCCACAATTGTATCTGAGTCGCACATTCGCTATTTGTCCCAACAGGACGCGAGCGGCAGCCATGGAGTCGAACTCTGGCTGGCACGAGATGTCCCCTTTGCATGGATTGGCAATACGCCCCTGTTTTTCCTTCAATCGGACATCCGCATCCCTTTTGTAGACCCCAGAACCCTGATCGCCAGGTTTTGTCGACTCAAGCTCAAATTTGTCATTGCGGTTGTGCATGCACCCACTGCCCATGATGAACAGAGGGAGAGATGGTGGAAGCAACTGCGTGACCGTGTGGTCACAGTTGCACGCGGGGACCCTGTGCTGCTACTCGGCGATTTGAACGCCAGGTTCCTACGTCCACTTTCGGGACGTGTCGGCGACAAATTGTGGGAGAAGGGGCCTGCTCCTCCGGTGAATCTGTTACGGTTGCTACAAGACATCGATGCTTGGGTACCGTCCACATATGAGGTCTGTCATCCTGGTGAAGATTACACGTGGCTCTCACCCGGGAGTGGTTCTGCTTCACGCATAGACTTCATCATCCCTCCCACAAGTTGGGGAGTCTCGGCGGGAAGCTCTGCAGTGCTGCATGAGGTTGACTTCGGCCAGGCCGGTGCAGATCATTTTGCAGTTGTGCTTGATGTGCAGGCATGCATTCAGTTCCGGAGAGGTACGGCAAACAAGGTATACAGAATAGACCGTGCAAGGTTAAAGCTGCCTGAATCACAAGAAGTGTTGCAGCAAATCTGTGACTCTGTTCCGTCAGTTGACTGGCAAGTTGACGCGCACACTCACTACGCCATAGTAGCTGACCACATCAGCACTAGAATTGCAGCAGCCTTTCCTTCCCCGAAAACGGTCTGCCGGCGTTCCTTCTTCAGTCCCACGACGTGGGATTTAAGACAGCAGCGCGTCACATTGCGCAAACAGTTGAATTGGGCTTGTCGATGCCTTCGCACCGCCGAGGTTGCATGCGCCTTTAGGGTCCTCTCTAGTGGAGGCTCCCTCAACGGGCGAAAGATAGGCTGTGTTGCGCAGGTCCTGAGGGCTCTTCATCAGGCCACCAGAGGAGTGCTTGAACTCAGACGCCTCCAACCTATCCTACGCAGAGCCATTCAGAAGGACCGCAAGACATACCTTCATGAGATCGCGAGCAGCGCCGCTACAGCCCCCACAAAAGATGTAGTTGCCAAGCTACGACCTCTTTTAGGTCCTCCGAAGCGACAGTGCAGAGGTGTGCAGGCACTTCCCATGATCCGTCTCGAGAATGGCGAATTTGCCGCCGACAAAACTGAGGCTGACTTGCGATGGCTAAGGCACTTCAGTGCAATCGAGGATGGGCAGCCAGTCGACACGCAGCAGCACATCCAGTCCTGTCTTGCAAGACAACAGGCCTTCGACCCTGACGATGTCTGTCTGGATAGGAGCGACTTGCCCACCCGTGTCGATCTAGAGCGCAGCATGCGCATGGCGCAATGTGGCAAAGCGATTGGAAATGACGGCATTGCGCCCGATCTGCTCCATTTGAAAACTCCGTCACTCTCGCGCACAGTTTATCAAATTTTCTTGAAGGTCGCCTACAGACTCCAAGAACCCATTGCCTGGAAGGGGGGGACCCTCCATTCCATCTGGAAAGGTCGCCGTGACCAGGCTGATTGCGCGAACTACCGAGCTATCCTTGTCAGCAGCTCTGTAGGTAAGGCAGTGCACGGCATGTTCAGGTCTAAGTGTTCCGACTACCTTGATACGGCGTGCACGCCAATGCAGATTGGCGGCAGAAAAGGCCAACCAGTCCAGATTGCCACGCATGCCATTCGAGCATTCCAGAAGGCCTGCGTCGACAGGAAACGGTCTTGGGCCATCCTGTTCGTCGACCTTAGAGAAGCGTTCCATAGGGTCGTCCGCCCACTGATACACGGAGGTAGCCTTAGTGATGAACACCTTGCGGGAATCATTAAAGAAATAGGCCTCCCCACGCAATCAATCCACAGACTCTATGAGTATGCCAGGGAACAGTCCTTGATCCAGGAAGCCGGCGCTTCCACATGGACTTCTCAAGTCATGCGGGAATTCATGGAGGATTCCTGGGTCACTTACGGAGATTGTCCACAACTGGCCTCCGTTCGAGCCGGAACCCGACCGGGCGACAACTTGGCGGATCTTGTTTTCACTTTCCTCTTCGCGGAAATTCTGCATCGAGTGCGCGAGCAATTCCAACGGAGAGGTTTGTCGGTACACATTCCCTGGAACCCTGAGTGGCTTTGCCGCAAGAAGTCAACGGCGGCGGCTGCCACATGTTCTCCAGTTGACGCCACCTGGATGGATGACCTCGCTGTCATCCTGACAGATGCCACCGCACAGGGACTTTTGGCGAAACTAAAAGCTGCCACCTGCGTGACTCTAGAAGAATGCTTAAAGGCAGCCCTGCTCCCAAACCTCCGTGCCGGCAAGACTGAGGCACTGGTTGCCTTGTATGGACCGGGCTCCAATACACTAGCAAAGGAAGTCTTCAGAGGAAAGCTTCCTCAGCTGCCCCTGGATTCCTCCCTATGGCCGGAAGCTAGTTTGGGTTTAGTCCCGTCCTATAAGCACCTAGGTGGCATCCTGCATGCAAAGGGTGGCTTGCAGGCTGAGATCAAGACCCGCTTAGGATGTGCTTGGCAGGCATTCAACAAGCATCGTCGACAAGTCTTTGCTTCTCCCATAGTGAGGATTGCCGAAAAAGCCATCCTGTTTACCTCACTCATAGAGTCGACCCTGTACTACGGTGCAGGGACATGGTCAGGCCTACGACCGGCAGACATTGCCCGACTACAAAGTCACGTTGTTAACATGGCACGCAGTATGCTCTCGAACGGTCGAAAAGAGGCTGACCTTTGCCACGACAGTCACCACAGCATCCTTGCTGCGGCTCGAATCCCTACTGTATCCACTTCACTCCATGTGGAGCGGCTTCGTCACTTCAAAGCCACTGTTCTCAAAGCCACGGATGAACTTTGGTCTCTCCTCCACCACGAAGCTGCTTGGATTGACACTGTCCAAGACTCTTTAGGATGGCTTCAGGAGCGGCACAGATGTTGCTGTTCTGACTCCCCACCCTGGGCTGATTGGGACTTTGCTGTGGGCTTCATCCGGACCTCACCTGAGGCCTGGAAGAGAACTGTGAATCGGGCCAAATACATCGCTACTCTGGAAGAACTCTGGCAAGCTGAACTGAATAAGTTTAAAGGCCTTGCATTTCGAGCATTCCTGAAGGCTGGAGCCTGTCTACCTTCTAATCTGCCACCTAGGCAGAGTGCTCATGAGGTTTGCGAGATCTGCGGTGTCGTTTTTGATGACCTTCGTGCATGGTCTCACCATGCTTTTAAAAGGCATGGGCGCCTCAATCCAGTGCGACGTTTAGCACAAGGCACCCAATGTGCTGTGTGCTTGGCTCACTTCCGTTCCAACAAAGGCTTATGCAATCACCTCGAATATGCCCGTAGATGTCGACACGCCCTCATCAATCAGGGCTTTGATTGTATTGCTGAGCCTGGCACAGGGAGTAGGAAATTCGACAGTGGCGCCCGAGTGCTGCTTCCTTCTGTGAGGGCGCAGGGTCCACTCCTTCAATGGAACCATGCCCCTGCCATTGATGAGCAGCATCTCCCCTCTGAGCGGATCCTGCGCGACTTGGAGGCCCTTTTCTGTCATGATGTCGGCACCTGTGTGGATTGGTCTGCCTTTGTCGATAGGCTTCAGTCCATCTTCAAGGGCGAGTGCCTCCAACAGTCCAGACTCAAAGCCACTGCTGAGCAATGGACCCAGCAGTTACATCACACGTTAGACCAGGATGACGACTGGAATGTCCAATGGGTTTCGTGGCACCTTCGGGCCGCACGTCTACTTCAGGAAGTCGACTTTGTCGAGTGGCTTGGCAATGAGGGCTGCACGCCATCCCTTGTTACTTCCACGTTTCGTGATGCAGAGACCCTTACTCCATGGTTGGACTTTTCTGGTGTCATCATCCCCACAGTTCCTGCACCTGTGCAATTTGGTTTCTGCTTTTCTGCTGGTGCACCCAAGCCTCAGTGGCTTCACTGCCCTGCCGGGACAGACAAGGAGTGTTTTGCTTGCACGGATTGGGCTGATGCCGCAGGTGAAGACAAATTGGTTTTCCTGTCCGGGGCCGGCCTCCGTGGCTCCTTCTCACTCCCCTTCCCACTCCGGTCCTTTGCTTCCATTCCGGACCAATTGACTCAACTCCGTCTCCTCTCTGACCTTGTCAGGGGAGCCTTCTTCCTTTGGACGAGGAAGGTGCCCACCTGCTTGTTTCTTCGCAAGATCTCCTGCTCTACAGTTGAGGTCGTTCGTCGTGTAGCCCCCTTCTGCGTGCACAGGGCAGAAGGTGAGCTGCTGGCGAATTTTTGCCTAGAGAGTTGCCCTTTCTTTCGTTTCACCTCAAATTAAATGCAAGCCGTATGGCTGCGTCCAGACCAGGACCCTACGCCCGGAAATGCGAAATGCGATGTATGTAATCTGTGTACATATATATATATATATATAGATGCAATCAAGGGCTTACATGCTTGCCACATCCACGAAGAATCATCAAGTGCAGAGTGCCTCATCTCGATGCGCAAACGTATGAGGACGCCACTCTTCGTTGCAGAGTCCCAAAGTCTCAGCATTTCATACCTCGCATGGAAACGTCTGGGGACAAAGGGCCGATTGAGTGACGAGCTTCGCTGTGTGCATTTCCGGCATCTCGCCACATCGTTCCGCACTCTTATAGCCAACATACTGCGCGCAGCACCGGCATGGTGTGCATAGACCGTGGCAGTGTTCGGAGGGGGTCCTCCCTGGAAGGGAGTAAAGCCTAAAGACGCATGCACAACCCCCAGAGCTTTCGAAAATCCACGACGCTGAGCCCTATACCCTAAGTCCTTAAAGCCTGCATTAAGCCCTAAGCCCTCTGCACCCCGAGCCCCTAAACTCTGAACCCTCTGAGCCCTAAGGCCCGAAGATACCCATAGGCATGGCTTGTTGTGTTCCGTCGGTTTTCGAGGCTCTACACCCGACACGGCCCTTAAGGTTCAGGGCTCAGATTGAACCCTAAACCCCTAAACCCTACAGAACATCACGCCCTGGTGGCGTGCTTTTTCGTGTGTTCGTGTTTTCACTTGCACTCTCAGATGGCAAGCTCAGCAAGCTATTCGTTTCCCGCAACATTGTTTTAGCAGCATACAACATTTTACGACGTGTTCTGAATTGACAACAAATTCCACCAAACCATTTGAAAATGTTCGGGCATAACCGAACACCGGTCCGAGGGAGATAAAGTTATGGGACAAACTTTCAAGGACATAAGGGCATGGCCTTAAGGTGTGGCTCTAGGCCTCTAGGCCTTGGAGTATGGAGGCCTGGAGCCCTGGAGCCCTGGGGGGGGGGGGCGCCAAAAAAAAAAGAAAAAAAAAATCTTGTGTGCAAAATCTCTGGCCAATTTTTTTTTTTTTTTTTTTTGGCGCCCGGCCCCCAGGGGCCATCCGGAGGGCGCATGTCTGTAAGCAGAGGATGCCTGGAGCCTTCGGCCTTTGGCACTCCCAATCCAGCGTTGCTCAATCATTTCAAGGTTTCCAGTATGCCACCAATCCTGTCCTGTCCAATGAAACATCCCTCTGTCAAGACTTTACGCTTGCTAGTGTTGTCCACCACCTAGGAAAGCGGCTCCAACACCTGAAAACTGTGACAGAAGTATGATGGGTAATTCATTCTACACAGTAAAAGTATGATGGGAATAAGATCCTTGTACCGGGACCCAAGTTCAGAAGGAGTTATTGGGCCTCGAACCCAAATGCATATGATGGTCCTAACCGTCTCAAGAGATGCTGGGTGGCGAACCCAAAACCTTAGACTGTAGAAGATATTGGACCCTCACCCAGAAACTTAGACAATGCAGTAAAAATTGCAAGCTACAATATCCTTGTTACATTTGAGGCGGAACATATATAGTTACCTGGAAGCCAACCTTGGTATATAGATGTTTGTACCAACATATATATGTATGTATCTATATACACGTCTGTGTATGCATGTTGGTATATGACATGAAGGCATGCATACACACCTGCATATGGATGTGTAAGCTTACATACACACATGCTCATGCTGTTTCCATGTTCATGCTTTTCCCATCCTTATGCACACATACATATATGCTTAATACATATGTACATACACGGGTATATACGTACATACATAAGTATCACGGAAACATGTGCAATATTTCTGAAATAAGCGAGCATATGTGTATGCAACAATGAGGCATTTAGGCAGCCATGCACTGAAAGGAAAATGGAGGGCCGCAGGCTCCTATCCCAAACCCCGAAAGGGCATGGTGGGTACAGGATGCGGAATTTCAAATCTGTGTGGAAGCACGTCCTCCACACCTGTACATATATACATCTACATATACATGTAATATATGTGTGTGTGTACATATATATATATACATAGATATGCACGTATACAAGTTCATGCACTCTCGAAGCCTATGCAACCATATACAAGTTCGTGAACTTTGGAAGCCCATGCACGCGCACACACATGTATATGCATAAATCTATCTCTATATAAATATGCACATATAGATAGGTTTTTTTGCGATATACATGCAAGTACCTGGGTATGTAACCGCAAGGCCACGCTGCAGTTGCACACACGATGTAAATTGGAACCTTGCAAGCATATTATGGGTGGATGACACATGTATACATGCATACACGCACATATAACTTTGTGTGCATCACGGAAATGGGTAATTACATTGTCTTTGGGATTTACATGGAAGTGGGTGGATGATGGCGAACAACAGGTCTTCAATAGAATAACTGATTAACATGCCCTATTACACCGTAAGCTAATCTTTAAAAGGTGTGGCCCACCCAGCCAGACATGCAAATCACATTAGGGGATGCTGGGAGACCACCAGAATAAAAACCAGAGTCTGAACACTTTAGTACATATCACGGGCTACACTTATCCACGAAAGATATATAGTGTGTAGCGAACCTGAGTACCGAAAACGATGACGTGTGTCCAGAGCATCCAAACTCTACTGGAAGACATTCGGCTGAAACGCAGTGCCGCGCATGGATGTAATGAGCCAAACCCCCGTAGAAGTTCGATGAGTGGCGGAACCACAACTGGATCCTCAAATCGATGACTGTTTTCCCAAATACAGGCAGACTCGAAGATATTGCACTCTCAATCCAAGGCTTCAATAGTAGATGACGGGGTAGCAAACCTTCAAAGGTGGCAAACCCCTCAGAGCTTTATAAGTGTAGCCACGGCTTCAGATGCGGTTGTATATACACATCGATGACGGTCTGCCTGTCAATATAGTCGCTTTTATGCTGCAGCCCACGCCACAATTTCAATCCCTAGTTGAAGACATGATATATACATTAAGTTACAGGTCAGCATTCGTATGCACATGTAAATATACACATTTCCATAAACACGCATCCATTAAAGCCAGATGCATATGTGGATAGACACCCAGGGGTTGTGATGGATTCTTAATGATTTTGACATGATATGCCAGATCACGCACCTCAACTTCAATGGAGATGCTGGATGGCAAACCTCCTCCCTCTTCCCCAACAAACTCCTACTTCGTGACATGCCCAAGACTCAAAATCAAGGGTGCATGCCTGGATGAGGCAACACAACGCTTAATATTCTGGGTGCATAAACTCGTGTGAAAACCTCTAAATTACCGAGAAATACACGCCACCAGGGCGTTGCACTCTCAAACCCTAATACCCTGATACCCTGTTGACTTCGGGGTTTAAGATTGAAGGTTGAGGGCTCAGGTTTGGAGCCTCGCTGCCGACCCTAAACCGCAATTCCTTAAAGCCCTCAACTTAGAAGCTGCCCCCACCCTGTAATAGTGACTATAAGGATTATATTATAGGGCCCTATTATATTCCTTTTTTACCACTATTACAGGGTGGGGGCCCCTTCTAACCCTCAACCTGCAAATGTGGCCGCCAAGAAGTGTGAACGTGCACAGATTCTCAGGGGATATACTATTGGTTACTGGTACTGGGTTTTGGGGGCCGAAGTCCAGGATTGGGGAGGTTTGGGCATGTTAGGATAGGTTTTAGCCTTGCGGCACTGCAGCACTACACTCCGCACCTGATCCGCAAAGCCTTGAAGCCCAGAACTGAAGCCCCCTCTCCCCCCCCCCCCACGAAGCCCTATAAACCTTAACCCCTACACGCTAAACCACCACGAGGCATGCGCATGATTGAGGGAGCCAACATCAATCGTTCCCTGCTTGCTCTTGGCCTCTTGCCTGTCTCATGGGATGGCCTTCATCTATTAGAAGATAGTACTTGTGCTGTTGTCTAGTTCATGATGTAGGAGTCAGGGCTTTCCATCTTTGAGGTCGGGCTTGGGGCTGTCGGCTGTTTGTGTAGGGCGATGGGCTTTCGGAGTTGTTCCGGTTGCGCACGGGTTTAGAGTAGATAGAGCCTTCCCAGTTGTTTTACGGAAGTTGCAGGTTGGGTTCTGGCATAGTGGAAGTTGGAGCGAGGTTTGCGGTCTGGGGGTTTGCGCAGGCTTTGGTTTTTTGGCACTTGAGTTTGGGTCTGTTTGTTTGTCGGCTTCTGCCGGGTTAACTGACAGACACAGCTACATCGACGTCAATATCTTGGAACTAGGGCACCTGCTTTGCCTCCACGTCTTTCGAATCCTTCTCTTCTGTTTTTCGGGATCGCTGGTTCCGCGTTCCGGTGAGACGCCTTTCCTCAGCTTCACCTTACGTCTGCGTGCTTAATCTTGGGCCGAAGGAGATTCTTACAGGCCTAATGATAAAGGCGACACAGTAATTGGGCCCTTCCGTCACTTGTGCACTTATCCAGGTCCTCAACTGCTACGTCTGTTCGGCGGAACTCACATCCTGGGTATAAAGCAGCGATGGCCTAAGTATTCGGGATCCTAATGCTACAGCCCTAGAGAATACGGAAGAGCAAAGGGAGGATCTGATCCCAGAACATTCTCGAAGGGTTCAGAAGACGCCGAGATACCTTAAGTCCCCTGACGGCAAAGTCCTGGCTGCCACCCAAGTCCTGGACTTGTGCGGTTTAGGGCTTTGGGTGCTTAGGGATCGTGTCAGGAAACTGCATTACTGCCTTGAGCTCTGCGGTCGCCTTCGTGCCGTATCGCCGGGGGCTTGGATCAGGGGATCAGCGTACGGATCGAGTCTGGGTATCACCGAATTTCTTCTAACGGTGCGCTTTTCTGTGACACACTGTGCAAGGCGAATCGTGGCTCGAACGAAGATTGGGGGCTTATTGCTTCAGAGGCTCAAGCGATCTTAGGTGGCCAGCCAGGGATATTTCAGGAAGCCAAAACGTACGACCAAGTTTCGAGAGGTGCTTGTGGAATTGATTGACTGAATA